TTAACAAGAACTTTAAGTCTTTGAAGAAAGAAATTGAAGAGGACACCAGAAAATGGAAGGATTTCCCTTGCTCCTGGATTGGGAGGATCAACATAGTAAAAATGGCAATTCTACCAAAAGCAATCTATAGATTCAATGCAATCCCCATCAAAATCCCATCAAAATTCTTCACAGATCTGGAGAGGACAATAATCAACTTTATATGGAAAAACAAAAAACCCAGGATAGCCAAAACAATCTCATACAACAAAGTATCATCTGGAGGCATTACCGTCCCTGACTTCAAACTCTACTACAGAGCTACAGTATTGAAAACAGCTTGGTATTGGCATAAAAACAGAGAAGTCGACCAATGGAATCGAATAGAAGACCCTGACATTAACCCACAAACCTATGAATACCTGATTTTCGATAAAGGAGCTAAAAGTATACAATGGAAAAAAGAGAGCATCTTCAACAAATTGTGCTGGCAAAACTGGATGTCAACCTGTAGAAGAATGAAAATAGATCCATATCTATCACCATGCACAAAACTCCAGTCCAAATGGATTAAAGACCTCAATAGCAGTCCGAACACACTGAACCTGATAGAAGAGAAAGTGGGAAGTACTCTACAACACATGGGCACAGGAGACCACTTCCTATGTATAACCCCAGCAGCACAGACATTAAGGACCTCATTGAATAAATGGGACCTCCTGAGACTGAGAAGCTTCTCTAAAGCAAAGGACACTGCCGCTAAGACACAAAGGCAACCCACTGACTGGGAGAAGATCTTCACCAACCCCGCAACTGACAAAGGTCTGATCTCCAAAATATATAAAGATCTCAAGAAACTAGACCGTAAAAGGCTAATCAACCCAATTATAAAATGGGGCACTGAGCTTAACAGAGAATTCTCAACAGAAGAAGTTCAAATGGCCAAAACACACTTAAGGTCATGCTCAACTTCCTTAGTGATCAGGGAAATGCAAATCAAGACAACTTTAAGATACCATCTTACACCTGTCAGAATGGCTAAAATCAAAAACACCAATGATAGCCTTTGCTGGAGAGGTTGTGGAGAAAGGGGTACACTCATCCATTGCTGGTGGGAATGCAAACTTGTGCAACCACTTTGGAAAGCAGTGTGGCGGTTTCTCAGGAAATTCGGGATCAACTTACCCCTGGACCCAGCAATACCACTCTTGGGAATATACCCAAGAGAGGCCTTATCATACAACAAAAGTATATGCTCTACTATGTTCATAGCAGCATTGTTTGTAATAGCCAGAACCTGGAAACAACCTAGATGCCCTTCAATGGAAGAATGGATGAAGAAAGTATGGAATATATACATATTAGAGTACTACTCAGCAGTAAAAAACAAGGACTTCTTGAATTTTGCATGCAAATGGATGGAAATAGAAAACACTATCCTGAGTGAGGTAAGCCAGACCCAAAAAGAGGAGCATGAAATGTACTCACTCATATTTGGTTTCTAGCCATAAACAAAGGACATTGAGCCTATAATTAGTGATCCTACAGAAGCTAAATAAGGAGAACCCAAAGAAAAACATATAGGCATCCTCCTGAATATTAACCTTCAGTAGGCGATGAAAGGAGACAGAGACAGAGACCCACATTGGAGCACCGGACTGAAATCTCAAGGTCCAAATCTGGAGCAGAAGGAGAGAGAGCACGAGCAAGGAACTCAGGACCGCGAGGGGTGCACCCACACACTGAGACAATGGGGATGTTCTATTGGGAACTCACCAGGGCCAGCTGGCCTGGGTCTGAAAAAGCCTGGGATAAAACCGGATTCTCTGAACATAGGGGACAATGAGGACTACCGAGAACTCAAGAACAATGGCAATGGGCTTCTGATCCTACTGCACGTACTGGCTTTGTGGGAGCCTAGGCAGTTTGGATGCTCAACTTACTAGACCTGGACGGAGGTGGGGGTTCCTTGGACTTCCCACAGGGTAGGGAACCCTGATTGCTCTTCGGGCTGGGGGGGGGGGGACTTAATTGGGGGAGAGGGAGGGAAATGGGAGGCGGTGGCGGGGAAGAGACAGAAATCTTTAACAAATAAATAAATTTTAAAAAAAAGAAGAAAAGACCAATGTTAAAAAGTAAGTAGAATTCTACAATTATCTTTAAAGAAATGCTTCAATAAAATCACTACCAAGAAAAAAAATTAAAAAAAAACTATCGTGCAGGATTAAGCACAGTGCAAAGCTTAGGGATCAACATGAGAAGCCACTGGAGTTTCCAGGGGTGAGGGGCAGGCTAATTTGTTTCAGGTAAGCACTTAGTGTAGAAGACATGCTTGAATCATATTCAAGAGAGAAGCAGTTGTAAGTCTCACCCTACTAGCTATGCCAGTCCTTGTTTGTATTTCCTGACTCTAGGAAACGTGCTGAGTCAGATATCCGCCACCTGCACTTCTAAGGAATTCGCAAGGAGGGGACACTAAAGACTGTGCCATGGGAAATACTCCCTTTCAAATAGGCTGGAGCAAGTGTGAAAGCAAACAGGCCCTGTGACAGTTCAGTTGTATTAGAGCTACACAGGAGCTGACAGAACGAAGCGTGGTCTGGGCCACCCCATGAGAGAAGTGACGCCCCACTGTGGCTACCTGACTGCAGTGCCCAGGGCCCATCAGAAACTGCCTTCACCTCTGACCCTCAGGTGCCACACATCACACACTTTCACTTGACACACACTGGACAGCAGCCCTGAAATCACCTGCTGGAAATAGTGTGGCTCGTCCTTAAAGCAGGCGATGGTATAGAGGTCAACAAGGCGGATGTGGAAAAACCAGGACTCCAGGGTGAGCCGTAGCTTGGCAGGAGGTCTCTAGAACATCTGGCTGAAAGGTGGGTGCATGTGACAAGGAGTCAGAACCAAGTGCCTAATGCCAACAGGTGGTAGCTGAAGGGAGGGACAGACTGAAACATACATTTTGGTGTGATTTCAATGTCTGCACATCAGAGAGTGTAATGAGATCTAGTAAGCCGCAAGGACACTCCTAATAGCAACAACCAGTTATGCGCCCGACTTCACAAAGAGCAAACTAAAATTGTGGAGGTATCAGGTCCAACACACATTAAGTTCAAAATGACTGAAAGGAAGACAAACAAGGGTGAAATGTCGGTACTTTTCATTCAATAAAAATAAATCTTTATTATATAATTCTTTTTGTAATTTTTGTTTGTTTTTCCAGACAGGATTTCTTGGTATAACAACCCTGACTGTCCAAGAACTCTCTCTGTAGACCAGGCTGGCCTTGTACTCACAGAGATCCACCTGCCTTGTCCCTTCCCAAGTGCTGGGATTAAAGGCATGCACCATCACCACCCAGCTTCTTTTGTAATATTTTAATGTTACTCTTAAAGGCCTCAAAACACAACCTGTACTTAAATGTCTGACAGATACAAAAAAAGGCTCAATTTAGAGGAAATGTTCTTTCTAAATAGTCTACCTTAGAAACTTCTTTATCATGCCAGGAAACCATTTTTACTCAATTTTTCCAGTGAAGGATTTTTTTTCCTTTATGAAGGCATCCATTCTTCTTAAACCTTTACATATAATTATCAAATGAGCCATTCTATGTAATGGGTGGAAACAGGTAAAATCCAGCCTGCACACACAATCAAGGATAATCACAGCTTTACTGCATAGGCTCCCAATCACTGCAAAACTTGGAGATTCGCTGTGGAAACACCTAAGTGCACCGACAGCAGAAGCATCCCCTGCAGCTGGAGTGCTCTGCCCTGCAGCCCCGCTTCCCACCGGCTTGGGCAGCAGTTCCTCCAAGGTCTCACTTCATAGTTTAAGGCACAGTTTTTCTATAATTTTCTCATCAGCAATTTTAAAAGTTCATGAAAATAAGTTTTCTATGTTTCTGAACTGAACCTTACCTGCCTAGAGGTTTGACTTGTCAGTAGCTAGAGGCACTGTGCACTCTCCACAGGTACCCACAGGAAACACTGCCAGGGAGAGATGGACTCTTTGGTTAGCATGAAGGACACAAGTCTTCCTTCATCGAGTGCCTATCGCATCCTACAAGAGCAAATGGAGTACTCAAAAATCATCTGGAAGTCTGTTGGGAGCCAGGCGGTTCCAAGACGTCCTCAAAGGAAGCGGCAAGCCTTGCTGTGTGTCCTTGCCCAGGGGCAGACTTGGCAAGGACAAGGCTGGGGCTGGGACTAGGTCCATGAAGGAATCAAGGTTTCAGTTCCTGGGAACTTATCTTTTCCCTCTGAAGAGCGAGGAGTATCCACTCCAAGGCTGCTGCTCCTCAGTCTGAGGCACCTGAGCTAGCCTGTGCTCCCCTCGTGCAATGTGGCTTCATTAGCTTCTTGCTGATTCAGCTCATCGTATGATAGGCTTTGAGCAAACTGGACAGAAGATGCACTTCTTAATAAACTTGCTTGGCATAAAGACACAGCTTTGCAAGACTTCCTGAGTCCAACTGTCCTATCACCTTTATTTTCTGAACCCCTTTGTACTTAATATACTGCTAGGGTGTGATACATGCTGCTATATGAACAGTGTCCAGGATTCTACCTACCGGGGCCTCACTTCCCCTAGCAGCTATCAACATCATTTCACACCCTAACCAAGTTTGTCAATAGCAGAAAAGCCTCACTAAACTTGTCTGCAGGAAGTTTCATGAGCAAATCCTCATGGTCACTCACCTAGAAACATCTCACTGGCACAGGAGACAAGCCAGCAGCTGCCCACTCAGTGTGAGGCAGTACCACCTCCCCATTAGTGGCCCCCACACAGCCCCACACTCCTCTCCACTCAAATCCCGGAACACCTTGCATTTAAAGTGATGGAGATGTAGGATCTCACAGGCCAGGCCTTTGACTGTGAAGGCTGTGCTGGCAATCCCAGCAGGACCCACATGTTCTCAGGGAGTGCTTGAACACACTAGCCTTATGAAACTAAAAGGACCAGCAGCGGTCTTTAGCGTGTGGTTGAGGGAATGAGACTATTTAACTCAACTCTGAAGGGGAAATGTTTTTATTTCCTTCCTAAAACAAATATGAATATATAAACTTGACATAAGCTGTTTCAGTCAGTTTTTGAATTGTCTATTAGGAGATGTTTTGTAGCAACCAAAGCCACAATAAGGCATTGCCAGTGAGACAGCCTGGCACTGGCACTGGGCGGCTGTATTTCAGTATGTCAGCCTGACCCAACCACAAAGGTCAGCTGGCTGTCCTGCCTTAAAAAAAAGCTTTTCAATATTTTTAAGACAGAACATTCTCTAACCCTCTTCTACCTGATGGGTACATGAGAGAGGAGGAAAACAGCACAGATCAGTACTGCTCAATGGGAACAGAACCTGAATCTGCGCTACAGTGTGAATTAGAAATAAATGTACTTAACAAAGACCTTATACCAACCATTGAAACACAAAGCCCTCTAGCCCGATTCTTAGTGGCTGATCCTCTATGCAGAATTCCACACGCGGTGACAAACACGGACTTAGGCTGCTCCATAAAAGGCCTTGCTTCAGAGATCCAAGAAATAGTTAGGACACGAAGGGGCCAGGTCTGTGAGCTCTCTCATCAACTCTGCTAGCTGTGGCACAGTCTCTGATCATGAGGCAGCACAGAAGAATGGAAGGTTTGTCTCTAATCTGCACTCCAGAAGAACATCTTAGCAAAACTCTTACAAGCAGTAAACAGTTCTGTCAGCAAGTTAAGGTTCTAGTCACGGCAACACATCCCCAGACAGCACCAGCAGCCAGATTAAAGACGACAGAGAGCAACATCTCCTTACCACTGAGCTAGGAAATGCCCTAATGGACTCCCATTGAGGAAGCAATTTAAAGTATAAACCCGATACGCTAGCATCCCGGTCAGCAGACTTTTCAGACTCCTTGTGGTTAAAGCATCTTCAGCTGTAGTGACGGCATGCAGGGCTTTGATTTCTTCCTGGATCATGATGTTCATGTTCCACTGAAAACATTATCTGCGGTTTCTTCTCAGAAAACTACTGCTCATGAAAGGGTCATCATCATCGTCCTGAAATGACACAAATGTTATGCTATGCCAGCGACCATTCATCCTCTGTTGAGCCAAGAGAGAAATTCTTATAACGCAAAATAGCATCAGGGAAAGCCGGGCGGTGGTGGCGCACGCCTTTAATCCCAGCACTCGGGAGGCAGAGGCAGGCGGATCTCTGTGAGTTCAAGGCCAGCCTGGTCTACAAGAGCTAGTTCCAGGACAGGCTCCAAAACCACAGAGAAACCCTGTCTCGAAAAACCAAAAAAAAAAAAAAAAAAAAAAATAGCATCAGGGAATCACATTTATTTCACCTATTTCCTCTGACACTGTAAAATGTAAATGCTCAAGCCAATTCTCTGTGCATTATAATAAAAATCTACCGGCTCTTGTGTGAGAAGGCATGTATCTATAAAACACAGTACATACAGTTCTCCCAGTCACAAACCTTAATAAAGGCAAACAAGGTATAGGAACCAGGGCAGACACTATTCAAGTCATTTCTATTCCATCTGTAAAGTTTTCTCATGCACATGATTTTGTTCTTACTGTTATGTGTATTCACATGCAAACACATGCATGGTTGCGTCCTGTCAGGACAACTTCATGGAACTGGGTTTCTCCACCCACCCTTTGTGGGCTCCAGGGCTCACACTCAGCTGCCAGGCTTGCACAGCAGCAGCTCCGTCCACTGAATATCTTGCTGGCCTCAATTACACTCATCACCATGTTTGCCTTCTTGGATATTCAACCAAGAAACAAGGAAGTCCCACGGAAAAGCCCCAAGTCTGAAGGACCATGATTCCTGTTTCCTGTCACCCACTTCATGACAGAGTACACTGCTTTCAGCCCAATGGAGAAAAGAGCTGAGCAAAGCGGTCTTTCTACTTTTGCAGGAAAAAGTATGTGATATATTTCCGGTGTTCCCAGGCCAATAGGACATAGGCTACAAGCATGGTAAGAATAAATATAAATATCAAACATTAACTAAGAATTTAATGAGAATGAAAAAACCTGGAAAGATGGAGTTGGAAAAATGGCTCAGAGGTTGAGAGCACTGGCTGTTCTTTCAGAGGTACTAAGTTCATTTCTCAGCAACCACATGGTGGCTCAGAACCATCTAGAAAGAGACTTAGTGCCCTCTTCTGTCATGCAGACATACATGCATGCAGAATAGTGCATACATAATAAATAAATCAATCTTAAAAACAAGGAAAGAACTAGCTGGATCTGGTGGCACAGATGTGCCATCCCAGCTGCTAGGGAGGCTGAGGTGGGAGAGTCACATGTTCAAGGCCTGTCTAAGCTACAGAGAGAGTTCAAAGCCTTGGTAACTGTGTGAGGCTCTGTCTCAAGGGAAAGAGAAAAAAAATGCTACAGTTATAGCTCAGTGGTTGAGAGCTTGCCTAGCATATGCCAGACCCAGGGTTCAAATTCAGTCATAAGGCAAAAACAACTAGCAAGCCTTACATAAAGCCTGATTATATAATCTGATGAAAGATATCAGTAGATGGATTGTACTCTATAGCTACGTATTCGAAAGATAAGTGTTTATAAATTTGTTTCCATTAGAATGTTAGGAAAAGCAAGTGGTTATTTAGTATTAGACTTATGACATCAACAAATCCATGTCTTATGAAGTTCTCTAGTGAGAAACGGGTACCTTGAGAATCACAAATTTAACTGTTTTGATGATTCACTTTCTCTACTATCAAAGGCAGGCCTTGTTAAAGACACAGAAATGAAAGCTGGCAACGTGTCTCCAGTTCGTCTCCTTAGTTAGATGCAAAAGAATACACATACATTTTCTTTTCTTCTGTGTGTATGTATTCTTGTGCTCATAAGCCCTGGAGTTCACACATCCCCACAGCCCAGGACTGGGATTACAGGCACGTAAGTATGGGAATCAGGTCTCAGGTCCTTGTGCCTGGGCAGCAGGCCAGGGGGCCATCCTCTCACCCTTGGCATACTCACTTCCAACTGCTACCCACGGACAGCAGATGTGTGTCTGCTTCATAGGAAGTCTGAACTCACAGCCGAGGTGCAGCAAGCCTAACAAGCAATTGCAAACTCACAGCTGAGACACAAGGAACACGACAGCAGCAGCAGAGCGGATGCTTGGAACACAAAGTCAAGGCACAAACATACATCATGGACGAACACTAAGACCGGTTTGCAAGTGGGATATAGCAACCACACAAAATTCACTGGGAAGTCCATGACACAGGGATGTACAGCAGACACAGTCATAGAAGAGAGAGCACAGTAGTGAATGCCAGGGGCTAGGGACAGAAGTAAGGACACTGGGACGTGTTTAAGGGACACACGGTTTTGCAAAAAAAAGTTCTTCAGGTCTGTTTTACAACACAAATCTAACACTACCAAGCTTCATTTAAAATGGCTAAGATGTGATTTTTATGTGTTCTCACTAAATTATATTTAAAAAAAAATAAATGAAAGTGAAGAGAGGCTCAACAAAAACATCTTCTACAAAGCCTACAGAGGTTCAGTGGCAGCTGTGTGGGAACGAGAAAGGCCAGGGTCTGTGTTTCACAGCTATGCCCCTCTGCATTAAATAACAGACGAACACAGGAGAGGCACATGCACTTCCTCTCACTCCTTGTGAGTTAAAGCCGTGAGAGCTGGGTAGAGACCAACACTGTCCTTGCTGAGTACCTGTGCCGAGGTAGCATCTGTCCAGGGTATGAAGCACGGTGGACGCAGGGCATTTCACCAGCGTAACCTGAAAAGCCCTACACCAGCATCACCCCACTCTCCAAACACGAACAGCAGAAGCTAAAAGAAAAAACCACCCAGCTCTGATCCATTAATGGGACAAATGAGAGCAGAGAGAACTTTGTGCTTTATAGGTAATTACACCTACGGCCACTTATGATTTCCAGCATGACAGGTCCTGGCTACCATAGCTATCACGGAGTCTAAAAATAGAACCTGCAATGTTTAGTGAGTGCCCGCCACTTACGTCTCTACACGGTTAAGGTAAGAAAATGCCAATGACATGACTATTACCTCATCTGATTCAAAGTCAACCCCCTTGGCAGTCTGGCTCTGGGACATCCGTTTGCTGGATGTTGTGCCTGGCCACCTGAGGAAGAGAGAAACACCAAGTGTGAATGCGAACATTAGAAAACTGCACTCCTAGTTACGTGTTCAAGCCCACAGCAACCGCCGAGTACAAACACGACACGCTCCCTTCCCTCTGATGTCAATAGTAATTGTATCTGTGAGCACTAAGGGAGGATACACTACATATAAAAACTGTGCGTGTTTGCATCCTACAAGCTCTGTTTCTCTGAGAACAGCACTGTTTCTCTACAGTAAACATTGTTTAATAAAGAAACAAAACCTTAATGGTAAGAAAACCAATTCCTAGGTATATTACCCCCGTTGCACCTAAATTTCCTCATCTGTCAAATCAGGAAATGTTTATTTTCTTAAAGAGCTATACGCTTACCACCAGCCCACGGTCTGACATGTTACACCACCCAGGCGCTGACGCACGTCACTGCTGTGGGACCAGCTCCCCTCCACAGCTGCAGTGCGACATGTTCCCTCCACAGCCACACAGAGGATCTCAGGACAAGCCCACCGCTCCACAGAGTGTCTCCACCTCAGCCCACGACACTTGCTCTTTTCCAGAAGCACTCACAATCAAGGGGCTGAATCACAACTGTCACACAAAATTATGAACTAATTCAATCATCCTTAATGCAGCTGTAGGTGTTCAATCCCTTTCAGGACAATTTAAGTCACCTAAGTCTGCAGCCTTATCAAAATTTGCAATGTCCCATCAGACCTAACAGAATGTGAAAACAGTAAGTGTTAACATACAAAAGAAAAAAAATAATACATGATGTATGTGCACCAAGTACACACAGTGCCCAGAAGCCACAGGGATCCTCTTGGAAGTAAAGTTACAAATGACTCAAGAGCGAGCCAGCATGTAGATACGAGGCTGTCGGCAAGGGCGCCAAGGACACTCAACTGTTGAGCTATCTTTCTAGCCCCTTAATCATCTTAAGTAGAAATTTTTATTTATTAATTAAGTTTTAACTAAACAGTATTTGCCCAAAATGTTAATACATAAAAAAAGCAATGTTTAAAAATAGTTTAATAAATATTCCAAGTGAGTCAATCAGGGACTCCAGAACTGAGTAAGTCTACATCAGCCACTTAAGTATGCTAGAGTAAGTTCATGCCAGTTAGGTCTATGTCAGCACATATGTATTCAGAATAGGTCCAGCCACATCAGTAATACAGAGGAAGTCCTGCCAGACACAAAACACTCCAGAGTGAGTCCAGTCAAACACACAAGTATTCCAGAGTAATTCCGCAACACCAACATGAGCACTAGAAGTCCAGCCAGACACAAAAGTACTCCAGAGGAAGTCCATATATAGAAGAACTTTAGAGCAGTGGTTCTCAACCTTACTTCTTTAATATAGTTCCTCATGTGTGGTGACCTCCAAAGAATAAATCTCCCATTGTTATGTCATAACTATAATTATGCTACTGTTATTAATCATAAAATAAATATTTGATATGAACCCAAAGAGGTTGTGATTCACAGGTTGAGAACCACTACTCTATAGGCAGTGTAGCCAGGCATACAAGTACTCTAGAGGAAGTCCAGTATGACACATAGTACTCTAGAGGAAGTCCAGTCAGACATAAAGTACTCTAGAGGAAGTCCAGTCGGACACATAGTACTCTAGAGGAAGTCCAGTCAGACACAAAGTACTCTAGAGGAAGTCCAGTCAGACGCATAGTACTCTAAAGGAAGTCCAGTCGGACACATAGTACTCTAGAGGAAGTGTAGCCAGACATAAAGTACTCTAGAGGAAGTCCAGTCAGACACATAGTACTCTAGAGGAAGTCCAGTCAGACACATAGTACTCTAGAGGAAGTCCAGTCAGACATAAAGTACTCTAGAGGAAGTCCAGTCAGACATAAAGTACTCTAGAGGAAGTCCAGTCAGACACATAGTACTCTAGAGGAAGTCCAGTCGGACACATAGTACTCTAGAGGAAGTCCAGTCGGACACATAGTACTCTAGAGGAAGTCCAGTCAGATGCATAGTACTCTAGAGGAAGTCCAGTCAGACACAAAGTACTCTAGAGGAAGTCCAGTCGGACACATAGTACTCTATAGGAAGTCCAGTCGGACACATAGTACTCTATAGGAAGTCCAGTCAGACGCAGAGTACTCTAGAGGAAGTCCAGTCAGACACAAAGTACTCTAGAGGAAGTCCAGTCAGACACAAAGTACTCTAGAGGAAGTCCAGTCAGACACAAAGTACTCTAGAGGAAGTCCAGTCAGACACAGAGTACTCTAGAGGAAGTCCAGTCAGACGCATAGTACTCTAGAGGAAGTCCAGTCAGACACATAGTACTCTAGAGGAAGTCCAGTCGGACACATAGTACTCTAGAGGAAGTCCAGTCGGACACATAGTACTCTAGAGGAAGTGTAGTCAGACATAAAGTACTCTAGAGGAAGTCCAGTCAGACACAGAGTACTCTAGAGAAAGTCCAGTCAGACATAAAGTACTCTAGAGGAAGTCCAGTCAGACACATAGTACTCTAGAGGAAGTCCAGTCGGACACATAGTACTCTAGAGGAAGTCCAGTCAGACACATAGTACTCTAGAGGAAGTCCAGTGAGACGCATAGGACTCTAGAGGAAGTCCAGTCGGACACATAGTACTCTAGAGGAAGTCCAGTCAGACGCATAGTACTCTAGAGGAAGTCCAGTCGGACACATAGTACTCTAGAGGAAGTCCAGTCAGACACATAGTACTCTAGAGGAAGTCCAGTCAGACGCATAGTACTCTAGAGGAAGTCCAGTCGGACACAGGTACTCTAGAGGAAGTCCAGTCGGACACATAGTACTCTAGAGGAAGTCCAGTCAGACACATAGTACTCTAGAGGAAGTCCAGTCGGACACATAGTACTCTAGAGGAAGTCCAGTCAGACGCATAGTACTCTAGAGGAAGTCCAGTCAGACACATAGTACTCTAGAGGAAGTCCAGTCAGACATAAAGTACTCTAGAGGAAGTCCAGTCGGACACATAGTACTCTAGAGGAAGTCCAGTCGGACACATAGTACTCTAGAGGAAGTCCAGTCAGACACATAGTACTCTAGAGGAAGTCCAGTCGGACACATAGTACTCTAGAGGAAGTCCAGTCGGACACATAGTACTCTAGAGGAAGTCCAGTCGGACACATAGTACTCTAGAGGAAGTCCAGTCGGACACATAGTACTCTAGAGGAAGTCCAGTCGGACACATAGTACTCTAGAGGAAGTTCAGTCGGACACATAGTCCTCTAGAGGAAGTGTAGTCAGACATAAAGTACTCTAGAGGAAGTGTAGTCAGACATAAAGTACTCTAGAGGAAGTCCAGTCAGACATAAAGTACTCTAGAGCAAGTCCAGTCAGACACATAGTACTCTAGAGGAAGTCCAGTCAGACATAAAGTACTCTAGAGGAAGTCCAGTCAGACATAAAGTACTCTAGAGGAAGTCCAGTCGGACACATAGTACTCTAGAGGAAGTCCAGTCAGACATAAAGTACTCTAGAGGAAGTCCAGTCAGACATAAAGTACTCTAGAGGAAGTCCAGTCAGACATAAAGTACTCTAGAGGAAGTCCAGTCAGACATAAAGTACTCTAGAGGAAGTCCAGTCGGACACATAGTACTCTAGAGGAAGTCCAGTCAGACATAAAGTACTCTAGAGGAAGTCCAGTCAGAAACATAGTACTCTAGAGGAAGTCCAGTCAGACATAAAGTACTCTAGAGGAAGTCCAGTCAGACACAAAGTACTCTAGAGGAAGTCCAGTCAGACGCATAGTACTCTAAAGGAAGTCCAGTCGGACACATAGTACTCTAGAGGAAGTGTAGCCAGACATAAAGTACTCTAGAGGAAGTCCAGTCAGACACATAGTACTCTAGAGGAAGTCCAGTCAGACACATAGTACTCTAGAGGAAGTCCAGTCAGACATAAAGTACTCTAGAGGAAGTCCAGTCAGATAAAGTACTCTAGAGGAAGTCCAGTCAGACACATAGTACTCTAGAGGAAGTCCAGTCGGACACATAGTACTCTAGAGGAAGTCCAGTCGGACACATAGTACTCTAGAGGAAGTCCAGTCAGATGCATAGTACTCTAGAGGAAGTCCAGTCAGACACAAAGTACTCTAGAGGAAGTCCAGTCGGACACATAGTACTCTATAGGAAGTCCAGTCGGACACATAGTACTCTATAGGAAGTCCAGTCAGACGCAGAGTACTCTAGAGGAAGTCCAGTCAGACACAAAGTACTCTAGAGGAAGTCCAGTCAGACACAAAGTACTCTAGAGGAAGTCCAGTCAGACACAAAGTACTCTAGAGGAAGTCCAGTCAGACACAGAGTACTCTAGAGGAAGTCCAGTCAGACGCATAGTACTCTAGAGGAAGTCCAGTCAGACACATAGTACTCTAGAGGAAGTCCAGTCGGACACATAGTACTCTAGAGGAAGTCCAGTCGGACACATAGTACTCTAGAGGAAGTGTAGTCAGACATAAAGTACTCTAGAGGAAGTCCAGTCAGACACAGAGTACTCTAGAGAAAGTCCAGTCAGACATAAAGTACTCTAGAGGAAGTCCAGTCAGACACATAGTACTCTAGAGGAAGTCCAGTCGGACACATAGTACTCTAGAGGAAGTCCAGTCAGACACATAGTACTCTAGAGGAAGTCCAGTGAGACGCATAGGACTCTAGAGGAAGTCCAGTCGGACACATAGTACTCTAGAGGAAGTCCAGTCAGACGCATAGTACTCTAGAGGAAGTCCAGTCGGACACATAGTACTCTAGAGGAAGTCCAGTCAGACACATAGTACTCTAGAGGAAGTCCAGTCAGACGCATAGTACTCTAGAGGAAGTCCAGTCGGACACAGGTACTCTAGAGGAAGTCCAGTCGGACACATAGTACTCTAGAGGAAGTCCAGTCAGACACATAGTACTCTAGAGGAAGTCCAGTCGGACACATAGTACTCTAGAGGAAGTCCAGTCAGACGCATAGTACTCTAGAGGAAGTCCAGTCAGACACATAGTACTCTAGAGGAAGTCCAGTCAGACATAAAGTACTCTAGAGGAAGTCCAGTCGGACACATAGTACTCTAGAGGAAGTCCAGTCGGACACATAGTACTCTAGAGGAAGTCCAGTCAGACACATAGTACTCTAGAGGAAGTCCAGTCGGACACATAGTACTCTAGAGGAAGTCCAGTCGGACACATAGTACTCTAGAGGAAGTCCAGTCGGACACATAGTACTCTAGAGGAAGTCCAGTCGGACACATAGTACTCTAGAGGAAGTCCAGTCGGACACATAGTACTCTAGAGGAAGTTCAGTCGGACACATAGTCCTCTAGAGGAAGTGTAGTCAGACATAAAGTACTCTAGAGGAAGTGTAGTCAGACATAAAGTACTCTAGAGGAAGTCCAGTCAGACATAAAGTACTCTAGAGCAAGTCCAGTCAGACACATAGTACTCTAGAGGAAGTCCAGTCAGACATAAAGTACTCTAGAGGAAGTCCAGTCAGACATAAAGTACTCTAGAGGAAGTCCAGTCGGACACATAGTACTCTAGAGGAAGTCCAGTCAGACATAAAGTACTCTAGAGGAAGTCCAGTCAGACATAAAGTACTCTAGAGGAAGTCCAGTCAGACATAAAGTACTCTAGAGGAAGTCCAGTCAGACATAAAGTACTCTAGAGGAAGTCCAGTCGGACACATAGTACTCTAGAGGAAGTCCAGTCAGACATAAAGTACTCTAGAGGAAGTCCAGTCAGAAACATAGTACTCTAGAGGAAGTCCAGTCAGACATAAAGTACTCTAGAGGAAGTCTAGTCGGACATAAAGTACTCTACAGGAAGTGTAGTCAGACATAAAGTACTCTAGAGGAAGTCCAGTCAGACACATAGTACTCTAGAGGAAGTCCAGTCAGACATAAAGTACTCTAGAGGAAGTCCAGTCAGACATAAAGTACTCTAGAGCAAGTCCAGTCAGACATAAAGTACTCTAGAGGAAGTCCAGTCAGACATAAAGTACTCTAGAGGAAGTCCAGTCAGACATAAAGTACTCTAGAGGAAGTCCAGTCGGACACATAGTACTCTAGAGGAAGTCCAGTCAGACGCATAGTACTCTAGAGGAAGTCCAGTCAGACACATAGTACTCTAGAGGAAGTCCAGTCAGAAACATAGTACTCTAGAGGAAGTCCAGTCGGACACATAGTACTCTAGAGGAAGTCCAGTCGAACACATAGTACTCTAGAGGAAGTGTAGTCAGACATAAAGTACTCTAGAGGAAGTGTAGTCAGACATAAAGTACTCTAGAGGAAGTCCAGTCAGACATAAAGTACTCTAGAGGAAGTCCAGTCGGACACATAGTACTCTAGAGGAAGTCCAGTCAGACATAAAGTACTCTAGAGGAAGTCCAGTCAGACGCATAGTACTCTAGAGGAAGTCCAGTCAGACATAAAGTACTCTAGAGGAAGTCCAGTCAGACATAAAGTACTCTAGAGGAAGTCCAGTCGGACACATAGTACTCTAGAGGAAGTCCAGTCAGACATAAAGTACTCTAGAGGAAGTCCAATCAGACATAAAGTACTCTAGAGGAAGTCCAGTCGGACACATAGTACTCTAGAGGAAGTCCAGTCAGACATAAAGTACTCTAGAGGAAGTCCAGTCAGACACATAGTACTCTAGAGGAAGTCCAGTCAGACATAAAGTACTCTAGAGGAAGTCTAGTCGGACATAAAGTACTCTAGAGGAAGTGTAGTCAGACATAAAGTACTCTAGAGGAAGTCCAGTCAGACACATAGTACTCTAGAGGAAGTCCAGTCAGACATTAAGTACTCTAGAGGAAGTCCAGTCAGACATAAAGTACTCTAGAGGAAGTCCAGTCAGACATAAAGTACTCTAGAGGAAGTCCAGTCAGACATAAAGTACACTAGAGGAAGTCCAGTCAGACATAAAGTACTCTAGAGGAAGTCCAGTCGGACACATAGTACTCTAGAGGAAGTCCAGTCAGACATAAAGTACTCTAGAGGAAGTCCAGTCAGACATAAAGTACTCTAGAGCAAGTCCAGTCAGACATAAAGTACTCTAGAGCAAGTCCAGTCAGACATAAAGTACTCTAGAGGAAGTCCAGTCAGACATAAAGTACTCTAGAGGAAGTGTAGTCAGACATAAAGTACTCTAGAGGAAGTCCAGTCAGACATATAGTACTCTAGAGGAAGTCCAGTCAGACATTAAGTACTATAGAGGAAGTCCAGTCAGACAAAAAGTACTCTAGAGGAAGTCCAGTCAGACATAAAGTACTCTAGAGGAAGTCCAGTCAGACATAAAGTACTCTAGAGGAAGTCCAGTCAGACATAAAGTACTCTAGAGGAAGTCCAGTCGGACACATAGTACTCTAGAGGAAGTCCAGTCAGACATAAAGTACTCTAGAGGAAGTCCAGTCAGACATAAAGTACTCTAGAGCAAGTCCAGTCAGACATAAAGTACTCTAGAGCAAGTCCAGTCAGACATAAAGTACTCTAGAGGAAGTCCAGTCAGACACATAGTACTCTAGAGGAAGTGTAGTCAGACATAAAGTACTCTAGAGGAAGTCCAGTCAGACACATAGTACTCTAGAGGAAGTCCAGTCAGACATTAAGTACTATAGAGGAAGTCCAGTCAGACAAAAAGTACTCTAGAGGAAGTCCAGTCAGACATAAAGTACTCTAGAGGAAGTCCAGTCAGACATAAAGTACTCTAGAGCAAGTCCAGTCAGACATAAAGTACTCTAGAGCAAGTCCAGTCAGACATAAAGTACTCTAGAGGAAGTCCAGTCAGACATAAAGTACTCTAGAGGAAGTCCAGTCAGACATAAAGTACTCTAGAGGAAGTCCAGTCGGACACATAGTACTCTAGAGGAAGTCCAGTCAGACGCATAGTACTCTAGAGGAAGTCCAGTCAGACACATAGTACTCTAGAGGAAGTCCAGTCAGAAACATAGTACTCTAGAGGAAGTCCAGTCGGACACATAGTACTCTAGAGGAAGTCCAGTCGAACACATAGTACTCTAGAGGAAGTGTAGTCAGACATAAAGTACTCTAGAGGAAGTGTAGTCAGACATAAAGTACTCTAGAGGAAGTCCAGTCAGACATAAAGTACTCTAGAGGAAGTCCAGTCGGACACATAGTACTCTAGAGGAAGTCCAGTCAGACATAAAGTACTCTAGAGGAAGTCCAGTCAGACGCATAGTACTCTAGAGGAAGTCCAGTCAGACATAAAGTACTCTAGAGGAAGTCCAGTCAGACATAAAGTACTCTAGAGGAAGTCCAGTCGGACACATAGTACTCTAGAGGAAGTCCAGTCAGACATAAAGTACTCTAGAGGAAGTCCAATCAGACATAAAGTACTCTAGAGGAAGTCCAGTCGGACACATAGTACTCTAGAGGAAGTCCAGTCAGACATAAAGTACTCTAGAGGAAGTCCAGTCAGACACATAGTACTCTAGAGGAAGTCCAGTCAGACATAAAGTACTCTAGAGGAAGTCTAGTCGGACATAAAGTACTCTAGAGGAAGTGTAGTCAGACATAAAGTACTCTAGAGGAAGTCCAGTCAGACACATAGTACTCTAGAGGAAGTCCAGTCAGACATTAAGTACTCTAGAGGAAGTCCAGTCAGACATAAAGTACTCTAGAGGAAGTCCAGTCAGACATAAAGTACTCTAGAGGAAGTCCAGTCAGACATAAAGTACTCTAGAGGAAGTCCAGTCAGACATAAAGTACTCTAGAGGAAGTCCAGTCGGACACATAGTACTCTAGAGGAAGTCCAGTCAGACATAAAGTACTCTAGAGGAAGTCCAGTCAGACATAAAGTACTCTAGAGCAAGTCCAGTCAGACATAAAGTACTCTAGAGCAAGTCCAGTCAGACATAAAGTACTCTAGAGGAAGTCCAGTCAGACATAAAGTACTCTAGAGGAAGTCCAGTCAGACATAAAGTACTCTAGAGGAAGTCCAGTCGGACACATAGTACTCTAGAGGAAGTCCAGTCAGACATAAAGTACTCTAGAGGAAGTCCAGTCAGACACATAGTACTCTAGAGGAAGTGTAGTCAGACATAAAGTACTCTAGAGGAAGTCCAGTCAGACACATAGTACTCTAGAGGAAGTGTAGTCAGACATAAAGTACTCTAGAGGAAGTCCAGTCAGACACATAGTACTCTAGAGGAAGTGTAGTCAGACATAAAGTACTCTAGAGGAAGTGTAGTCAGACACATAGTACTCTCGAGGAAGTCCAGTCAGACATAAAGTACTCTAGAGGAAGTCCAGTCAGACACATAGTACTCTAGAGGAAGTGTAGTCAGACATAAAGTACTCTAGAGGAAGTGTAGTCAGACACAAAAGTACTCCAAAGTTCCTACTACCGTCTTCACGTTTGGCACAGCCCTGTGTACAGAAAGCACAGAAAAATTTTTATAGTGAAAAACAAAGCCAAAATCTAGAATTAACAAAAGCATTCTCTATTACCGAGGAGACAATCTTTCAAGAAGAAAAGAGCTGGGTAATACAGACAAGGGGACATGAATCACAGGCTTTTTTTCTGAAGAAATACAGCAATTCTGAATCATTCTATTTTTCATTTCTACATACTTTGCTAGATGAAAAGAATAATATTCATCCTCTCTGGCATAGAAATATGTATTGCCATAGAACTCTGGATCGTTGTTGCTTTTTTTCTGAAGGAGGTAGGTCCCAGGCTTACCTTTGATCAGCCTTGGAACTGGTAGGAAAAATGTCATCTTCATCAGACTCATCCACCTCAATAGTCTACAGAAGGGCGGAAACAAAGCAACAGGTTCATCCCAACATCTAAATTAAGTAATGGAATATGAAGACACATATGTAGATATGTGTACAGGCATACTACATAAACACTCGCAATTACCACAAACTCAGCCATGTGTGCGGCTCAGCAGTAGAGCAACTGTCTAGCCATGGGGTCTGATCTCCAGGTCTGGGAGAAAAAGGTAAGCCCAGGCTGACTTCCACCAAGATCCCACTCCCTTCACGAAAGGTATTCACTGCTCCAAGCCTAATCTCTTCTGGCAGTTACCGAGCCAGGGCCCCTAAAGGACACAGGATGCTGAATTACATGCACCCCTGCCCAGCAGCCTTCTTCCTAGGTTCTGAAAACTGATGGACCTTCAGTGTTTCAGCTCTAAGCTTTTCCTAAGTAGCCCAGGCTAATTTCAAACATGCAAACTTCTGGTTTCTGTCTGTTGAGTGCCAAGATTACTGATTTGTGCTACCAAGTCCTCCTTTCAGCTCCAACCTTAAATAAGGCATCAGATCAGGAAGTAGCACATAGGTAGGTATTGAGTGTTAAGAGCCAACAAAGCTGCACGTCATCCTATCATGTTCTGTGAAGTGAAGTCATCCTATCATGTTCTGTGAAGTAATAAGGGCGGCGGGGCTGCGTCCCCAACACCCCAGCCGCCTGCCCGGCTAGCTTATGCCCTGGAATAATTACACAGACACTGTATTCTTTTAAGCACTGCTTGGCCCTTTAGCTCTAGCACTTACAGGCTAATTCTCACATCCCGATCAACCCATCTCTAATAATCTGTGAGAACCGGTCTTACCGGGAAGATTCTAGCCTAGTCCATCCTGGGTCAGAGCTTCATGCCGGGAGCATGAAGCTCTCAGGCGTCTGCTCCCTAGAGGAGAGCTGTCAAGTCTCTGACCTCACTTCCTCTTCCTCCCAGCGTTCTGTTCTGTTTACTCCTCCCACCTATCCTCTAACCAATAAAATGGGCCAGGGCAGTGCCTTTATTAGCCAATGACCTTCCTCCATCATTTCTGTGTTATTGTGACACTTGACAGGCATGTGCTGTGCTTTCCTCTAACTAAAGTCAGACGAGGAAGGAGCCCAGGACCACACTCCAGAAGGGCAGCATGCAGTGTCGAGAGCTCTGCTACACCCCGTGCAGTGCACAGGAAGTGCCTTCATCAAGCACAACTACCTGGCATAGGAAGAAGAGTCCTTGCCTGGGTCGTAGGATACATGGACAGTGAGACAGCCATCAGACCCATTCTGAATTCTCTTCCAGAATCCCAGGGGGCAGCAAGGCCATGTTAAATGTGTAACAGGACACAAGGATCCTAACAGTTTGGTCTTTAGCCCACACCGCTATGAAAAGAGCATCTCCATGCCAGGAACACACCTCTGTGTCAGGGTTTAAAAGTCGGGTCTTTTGGTCAGCACTGCTGCCCTTGAAAATGCTACCATACCACACAACTAATGGACTTCTAATAATGTGAACCACTGGACATTGTTGTTGGCTCTAAAAGAGCCTAAATAATAATCACGCTCTCCCCAGAGTTGACTTCACACTTTGTTCCCATTAGGAAGTCCATAACTCAGAAACAGATTATTAAAATCAAATCTCTAGCAGTTTTCTTACCTCTGAGTAATTCTTAGTGGCAATGTTTCTGGAAGGCTGCTGTCGAGTAGATTTGAAAGCTAGCATAAAAAAGATGAAATGCCTGTTACATAGTTCTTAAATAACTCAAAAGCTCTACTCACTTTTCAACTGGAGGACTTTAAAGCCCTATCTAATAAAACCTGGAATGATCGATTAGAAAACCATTTCTACATTCTGGAATCTGAAAAGCTGTGAGACTATATACACTTGAAGCACCCAGAGCCCACCTATTCATCTCCCATTTTCCCAGCATGTTCTAATATAGTAACAAGCAGAATGCGCCCACATGCTTGCATTAGGAATGCTGTATAAGCACACCTGGACGCTGAAGTCTTGTCCCTCAGTCAAGTGGCCTACACCAGCCCTCCCACCCTGCCAGCCTCACAGCTGTGCAGGCTCCAGAGGCTCTCACTCCTCCCCTGTGGCTACACTGGGCACAAGAGAACACACCAGAGGGGAATTCTACAAATCATGTATCTTTGACTGATAAAATCACTGATAAAAACTTTCCTTATACCCTTACATTTTGCTTTATAGAAATCGGAGGTCTGGCTAATCTGTCTCCTTGTCACGTGACATAGAAACACTAGTCCAGCACCTGGCTGAGGTTTGTTGTCTCCTCAGCACCATCACATGCTAACACCAACCACAGTTTCAAGACAACCTCCACTCTAAGAGGGCAAAGGCAGACATTAAAAAGCCAAGGATTCCTTTGAGCAGGGTCTTTCTACACAGCCCAACGTCATTACTGCTCAAGCTTCCCACCTCACATTCCTGTCGGATCCTGTGCTGTCTGAGAGGAAGGTGAAAGGCAGACACCCAGGTTCCATCTGCTCTCTTATTCACACACCCCCCATCCTACTTTCTAAAATGGAAAAATAGGGCAATGAACAGAAAGCCGGCGAGCACAGTGATTTCAGAGAATGCTCTGTCGATACTTACTAACAGTCCCTAAATCCTGAGATCCTGAAATCAAGAAATCTTTCTTTGGATTCCTAGTGGACAGCAAAATGACGACGGAATGCTTATGAAGCCAGGTAGCGTTTATCAGAAGACACACTGCTTTGTAATGAAGGTCATGGGTTTTGGTAATTCAGGGGTCTGGTTTGGGAGCTGGGCCCATTCTGACTATCTAGCTAGCAACCACTGCCAAGTTACTTGGCTTATCCAAGTCTTAATTTCCTCACCTGGAAAACAGTGCCAATATTTCATGCAGAAAACTGCTTAAAGGATAAAAAGTGCTTATGCAAATTGCTTTGGCAAGTGCCTGCAGGAAGCAGCACCCATCCACAGAGCTCTTTAGCATGAAAATTAGTGGCTCAGGGCAGTAAATCACACAGAAAGGCAGTGGCCATCCTCTGCTCACTAACTTCAGTGGAGAAACATCTTGCTGTCAATTCTTATTTATAGCATGTAATCTTTTCCCAACAGTAAACAATCGTGTGTTCTATAGAGCTCACCTAATTTCACCTGCCCACTGCGCTGCCTACCGTGGACATCTAGAAGTACGATTTCAATGATGGATCTCCCTGGGTGCTGACAGTCAGCACCTCCAGGTAAAAACACCATATGCATGTATGTATGTAACAATCCATGGAAAAAGGATTTGAAAGAACATGAAGAGGTATAGGGGAGGGTTTGGAGAGAGGAAAGGAAATGATACAGTTATAACAAAAAATAAAAGAAATAACTGAAAAGACCATGAAAGAGAGAAATATGAAGGGAAAAAACCCTCACCAACTTAATACAATAAAAACGTCCTGTGTATCTATGCTAAAATATCAGTCATGTCTAGAAAACAAAGGAGACTGATGGGAACAAGGAGGTGACAAGGGGGTGGAGGGTGGGGATGTGCTAATCACCCAGACAGGAGTTCCAGAGCACAGCAGAGTAGCTGAGGAGATGACAGCTAAAGCTTTTCTAGACACAATGAAACACCTCTATGAGCTCAGAAAATACTAAACAGGATAGAGAAGAACACCATATTTAGATTTCATCTGGCAAAACTGCACAAGACCAGAGACCTGAGGGAAGAGGACACTTTAGCTTAACTAACAGCCGACACCCTAACAACAGCGGAAACGGCAAGAGTCTGTAATTAATTAAGCTAGCACACACACTCAAGCACTCTTTGTATGTCCCTGTTTCCTTTTTTATAACAGTAACAAATTTTGTAAGAACCTACTGATGCAGCCGGCATTGGGATCTAATTGTTTTATCAGACAGATTTATTACCACAGCTTAGTCCCTCATGTACACCGAGGAAGGTCCCAGCCATTCCATCAGGTAGCTAATTTCTGCCACACGCTTCTCTCATCCTGACCCACCCTCGCTGCCCTCATTTCTCTGTATCTGGGAATCTCTCTGTCAGAAGATAAGTGAAGTTATACTGCAGAAGTTAGCAATTCCTTTAAAAAGTTAGGAAGCGCCAGTAACTCTGATGTATGGAAAGATTTCTCAGTTTTTCGTTTTGCTTTCTCAGTAGTTTGGAGAACTATAGGGTTTGGCACATGCAAGGCCACAACTCTTCTGCAAAGCCGCGTCTGCAGCCCTAAGAAACATCTCTGTGGAGTAATTTACTGACTGCAGGGAATGCAATACAAGTGAGAGTTACTAGTGAGGCACCTCTTGCCTTTCCAGGCTGGGACTCAAATGTGTCCCTACTGCCTGTACTCACCGTCTAGAATGGACATATTCCTAGTCGTTGAGCATCTGCCTCGCGTAGCCGTCTCCAGCCCAGTGTCTGCAAGCAGAATCACAAGGTCAGTAACAGTCCCTTGGCAGCTAAGTGAGCACATGCAGGAAGAAAAGTTCAGCAGTGTAGGGGAAAGAGACCTAGAGTCTAAGGATCAGATTTCAGACTATGCTCGGTCACATTGGTCCTCCATTACGGCTTGAGGACACACACTCTAAACGTAAAAATGATGATGATGATGATGATGATAATAATAATAATAGAAGACAGATTCTTCAGAGCTCTTTCTGCTTGCTTGTTTGTTTTTGAGATGGGTCTCTCTGTGTAGCCCTAGCTGTCTTGGAACTCACTCTGTAGACCAGGCTGACCTCAAACTCACAGAGATCCACCTGCCTCCGCCTCCCAAACACTAGGATTAAAGGTGTGCGCCACCACACCCAGCTCTTCAGAGCTTTTATATAATGCCACAATTTATGTTACCAGCTCATGTTCTCACAGATAAAATATTTTTTTAAAAAATTTCTTTTATATTTATGTATGTATATATATACATATATATACACATATATATATACATATATATATATATATGTATATATATATGTGCTTATGTAAGTTTGTGTATGCAGGATCCTGCAGAGCAGAAAAGGAATAGGATCCCCTGAAACTGTAGTTACAGATAGTTGTGAACTGCCATGCAGGTGTTGGGAACTGAACCCAGGTCATCTAGAAAAGCAGCCAGTGCTCTGAGTCCCTGAGCCATCTCTCCAGTACTGTCCTTATTCCATAAGGACAACTAAGAACTGCTTCTAGTGGCAGCTTTATGGGCCATACCAGAAGTGCCTGGGTAGCTATGTTCTGTCACCTGGCCCATCCCAGAGGAACAGCACCAGCGACGGCAGCTCTGCTGTGACTGCCCTTACACATAAGGGGTTGAGAGCAGCCTTCACTTTCAAACAAGCTCATGGAGACTATGAGCATGTAGGCATTGTGTCTTCTGATGGCCGCAATATTTTTATATATCTTCATGATCTGGAGCTGTGATTTTCCTTCCTTCGTTTACATCTGTGAGCAAATACACACAGGGAAGTCCAAGGTAAGTTTGAGTCACAGCTTACAAATAACTGAAACCCTGCGTCCATGTGGCAGTCACCGTTCACCTGAGTCAAGGGTGCATGTCACAGCTACCTATGACACATCATAAAAAGAAGTCAGCAAAGAATTGTTTTAGAAACAAAAGCTCCGAATTCAATTCAGACCAAAGGACACAAATTGCAACTTTTCTTCTAGCTTTGCAAATCTCAAGTGTTGAGAGGCAAAGATGAGTGCTGACCTCGGCCCCTCTGAGACCTTCCTCTTGGTGCAGTGCTCTGCCCTCTGCCTCCTCTGCGCCCTCGGCCTCGGCCCCGGCCTCTGCTGGGCACTGCTGACAGGCTGTCATCCGAGTCATTTGCTGTCGTCTGTTCCATTATATCAAAACTTTGGTCATCGGCGCTGAAGGCTGAGGCGGAGTTCTCTGACTGCGATCTGAGGGCCCGGGCCCTGCTCATGGCCTGTGCAGCGGGGACAGCACATCAGTGCACATCTGTAGACGCAGCATCCTACCCCCCACTCGTGCAGTCACATGGACAATCACCAACCCACTCATACTGTATGCCAGACAAGTGTAAAAGGGCCGGTCTACCAGTCAAGTTCCTGAACTACAACCTGCAGGAGACCTCGTATTTGGGACACCAAGAAACTCAGTTTTGTGGTCAGCACTTTCAGAACCAGCAGTGCTGAAGATTGCTCCTTACCCTACACAATGTTTATAAAAAAGACAGACACGAGCTTCTTTTTTACAATGAGCTCAGAAGAAGAAAGGGAGGAGGAGGAGGAGAAGGAGGAGGAGGAGGAGGACGAGGAGGAGGAGGAGGAGGAGGAGGAGGAAGAAGAAGAAGAAGAAGAAAAAGAAGAAGAAGAAGAAGAAGAAGAAGAAGAAACTTTCAAAATATCTCTTATCTCTGAGCAATGAAATTTTAGGGTTCATTTATTTTCTTTCTTATTTTTGAGTAACGTTTTCCCTAAAATAATACCTTTATACTCAGAAAAACATGAATAAGTAAGCCTTACAAAAAGGCTTCTAAGAAAGAATTAACATCTTAGAACCAAGAATACATACTTTTTTCATTTTGTAAGAATCATTTAGAAAAGACAAATTTGAGATTTAACCAAACATTCTACCTCTAAAATGAACAGATTTTTCATTAATGATAGAATGAAAGCAAGCGGTGCTCAGGTATCTTCAATGGATCAGACAAAAATGGAAGAAAGGGAACAAACCCCAAACAGGTTTTTAATAAAGTAGCAAATAATTCACACCCACGAACACTGCCTCTGAGGAGTGGTTAGAAATACGGGCATCTACCAGGCAGCTAGAAGCTGCAAGTGCAGAGATGCAGCTCCCACAGTTGCAACAAACTGACTGTCTTACCCAAAAAACATACGAGCCTAAGAGTAGCAGACCAGAGGATTCTTGTACTCCAATAGGACACCACAGGCAAGGAGAGGAAGGACTAAATGATACGGGCAAAAGCAGGCAGAATAAGAGTGGGTGGTGGGTGAAGCTGCACCCTATCCTATATATGGGATAGGAAGGAAATAGGTTAATTCAGTTTCCAAAAAGTTAAGAAATGACTCAGGAGATGGCTCAGAGTCAAAGTGCCTGTCTCGCAAGCATTAGCATCTGAGTTGAAGCCCCAACAACCATGCAAAGGCCATGCAGTGATTCACACTTAAGAGTCCAGCACTGGGAAGGCCAAGAAGGGACGATCACTAGGGACTCAAGGTCAGCCCAGACTAGGGACTCAAGGTGAGCTCCAGGCCAGCAAGTAGTGCAGTCTTGAGGGGGGCGGGGGTGGGAGGGAGTGGCTAGGGAGATGGCTTGCTTGGTAAAGTACACAGCATGAAGAGCTGAGTTTGGGTCTCCAGAACCCACACAAAAAGCTGGATGCCACTGCAGGTGTCTAGTATCACAGCACTGGGGAAAAGGCAGACAATCTTGGGAGCTTGCTAGCCCAGCAATCAGTGTAATCAGTGAGCTCCAGGTTCAGTAAGAGACCCTGTCTCAAAACATCAGTCAGAGACTCATAAAGAACACTCTATGTTGAGCTCTGGCTTCCACATGCAGCACCGAGAAAAGACATCCACGACTGTCTTCTGCCCACATGTCCACAGGTGCACACACAATGCCAAGATAAAGAGGTGACTCGTAATGCAAGTCTTAGAAACAACCTAAAGAGACCCAAGAAAAGACAAACAGTGTCAACAGTCTAATTATCCAAAAAAGTTTTGAGAAAATTATTTGAAAACACCATCCAGAAGCTGGAAAGATGGTTCAGAGGTTAAGTGTGCTAGCTGCTGTTGAGGACCTGGGTTAGATTCTCAGCACCCACAAGGTAATTCACAACTGTCATTAGCTCCATTTTCAGGTAGCAAAACTCCCTCTTGTGGCTTACCTGGATACCAGACAAGATTGTGAGTCACAGACATACATGCAGGCCAAACTCCCATACACAAAGTTAAAAAGACAAACAAAATACCACCATCCAGACACCAAGAAAGTTTAACAGGTGAGCCAGTCAAATTTCCAAACAACACTATAGTGATGTTTTATTTATGCTTCAACAAATAAACTTGCCTAAAGATTAGAAGGGCAAAGCTAACCCACTAGAGGTCAGACAGTAGTGGCACACACCTTTAATTTGGGAGACAGAGGCAGGTAGCACTCTGTGAGTTCAAGGCCACCCTGGGCTACACAAGATCAACGCTAAAATAAATCCAGGTGGTGGTGGCTGACAGACACCTTTAATCCTAGTACTAGGGAGTCACACCTTTAATCCCAGCACTAGATGAAATATAAAATGGGAGGAGAGAGAGGTTCAGGCTGCTTAGTCTGCTAAGTCTGTGGTTGTAGAGGCAAGACTTCTCTTGGCTGCTTTGCTTTTCTGGTTTTTGGGTTGAACCCCAATATCTGACTCTGGGCTTTTATTATTTATGCTACAGAACAGAACTCATTGGTATTTCAGCAGTGCTGAAGCACAGAACAAGTGCCCAGTTCTCCCAAAGCCAGCCCAACAGGATGCAGACACAGCACTGAACATATAAAGAGAAAACAACAGAACCGTGCTTATGAAAACAGCAGAGTCCAGGAATACCTGCAAGATTGGCCATATAACTAGCAGGATTTACAGAATCAGTAGGACTGCCAACATAGGGCATACATTAATACAACTCACATGAACAGAGGGCAAAGAGGAGGCCTCATATTGTCCTCCCTAGATGCCAAAAGGCTTTAACTTTCCACTAGTGCTGATTTAAGCCAACAGTCTTCAGAACAGGTGAATATTTATTCTACATGTCAAAAAGTACTAAGTACAAAAGGGGAAGGAGAGAGGAAGAAGAGAGAGAGAGAAAAGAGGAGAGGAGAGGGAGTTACCCTCCACCCCACTATAAGCAGGTGCTCCATATGAATACTCTAAAAACATTAAAAAACTGCTCACTGGGGATTTAGGTCAGTGGTATAGCACTTGCCTAGCATGTGTGAGGACCCAGGTTCAATACTCAGCTCCAGGAAAGGGGGTGGGGAATGCTCACTGTTAAGAAAGGAAGCATGAATCAAACACAGTATCAAGAAAGAAGGCCTTGCCCCTGAGATGCGCAAATACCAAATCTATAGTAAGACAACATGAGAGGGCCCCAGGGAACATACACTCAAGGATATCAGTGATTAGAAGGCAAGCTAGCACCACACCTCTAAAGTAGCAGCGATGGCCAACAGCATCTAAAAGCCTGAAGTCTGACTGTGAAGCTTATTTTTGAGTGACGACCTATCTTTTCCAAATTTTCTTTCTTTTTCTAAATACCATCTTTATTTTCATTTTCTTAAATATTACAGTCAGTGTTCTAGTTTAACATTTCTGTGCAACAGCTTGGAATTTACTGACTCTAGGATTTATTTTTCAGCTCAAACTCGACCCATTTTGTACCCTCAAGTCCCTGGGGTCCCCTGTTCTGCTCCATTCCTGACTAAATAGCACAGTACGGCACACAGATGAAATACTACACTGTCCATTTGAATTGGCTCTTTCCCACTCAGTGTGCATTCAGACTTCATGCATATTGAACATGTGTTAGACTGTAATGATATGCTAATGTTCCCTTGCAGGAGGATATGTATCCATGGGCTATTGATAGACACCTGCTGTGTCTAACTTGGCTACTGTCAATCATACTCTAAAAGCACTGGCATATGAGCATCCACTTGATATTCTACTTCCGATCCCTTGGCTGTATACTTAAGCTGGACTGTACGAGGACCAGACAGTAATCCTGAGTCTCCTCTCTCTCAGGAGAGGTCACATTGCTCTCTTCCCCAGGGGCACCAGGTCCTCCTACCAGGAGGTACAGGGTTCCAAGCTTTTCACATAGGTGCCAACCCGCACACCTGTTCTTTCCTGTATGTACCCCATTCTCTGTCCCTGGGCTTTATTCTTGCTTCTCCAATGTGTGTTCCATGGTTCTGCATCATGAATACTTGGAATCCTAAGTGCTGATGGAGCACTTGAAAACCTTTAAAAAGATGTATCCAAGGCTTTTATCCATTTTCAAGTTGCTGTTATTGTTGAATTTTTAGAAGCCTTTTTAACGCAATGTAGACACCAACTCCTTGAATGTAAATTCATAAGTATTTCCTCCCACCCCGTGAATCCTCCGTTCACTCTGGATGGGGCTCAGCATCACGTTTTGAAAGGGTGTACCCATCCCGTCTAAATTCAGACAGGACCTAAGATTTTATAAGCCAGAGAATCAAGTACTGTGTGCAGATTAAGAATAGCCTTATATTTTTAAAGGATTGCAGTGTGTAGGATGGAGATCATGGCAGCCTTAAACCTGATCTTTACTGGTCCTGGTCATGTATTTCCAAGTCAGCTTGTGCCTACAGAAATACCTGAGTTTTTCCCTCGTGAACAAGAAGCTCTACAGGATGTATTTTTTTCCCCTCTAAATGAAAGAACTTCCATTTGTCTGTTAAAATAACTGAAGCATGGTACCACAATTCATATTTTGAGCCCAGAGATTCTGACAAAGCTGTGAATTACATCTTGAGAAAGTGTCAACTCTATTACTCAAGTCCTAAGTAGGATGCTGAGGCTGAAAACCCTGTGAGAACCCTACAGAATTCTGGAAGTGCTTACTGCTGTGGTTTAATATGCTTTTCAGATTTCATCCACAAAGTCACACATATCGACAGTGTGGTCATTGTATCATGAGGTCAGGCCCTCATGAACCGATTCGGATTGATGGGTTCCTAAACTACACGGGAAGTGGCTGTTAGGAAAGAAAGCCAGCACACTGACTGCCTGTGCCGTGCCATCTGACACAGAGCACTACAGGAAGACTCTCATTACATGCTGGTTCCAGCCTGCCCAGCTTCCGGTACAATGAGCTCAAAATTTCTATCCTTTCTAAACTATCTGGTCTCAGGCATTTTGATACAGTAACTGGAAACAGACTAAAAAGCCCAGGAAATCTTGTTACCTGTAAATGTTGTAAAAATATAGCTAAGTTTTAAGTTTATTCCTCTGAAGGACTCCCATTTGACACGTTACATTCCCATATAAAAATTCACAATCCCTTTTATTTACTGATTTTTGATGGTGATAGGGATGAATCCCACACCCTAACACGTGTTAGGCAGGTACTCAACCACCGACCTACGCCCTCAGCCTCAGCTCTTATAAGAAACTAAGGTTAGTGGCTTCAATCCCAAAGGACTCAATGTAAAAAGTATTTTTATTATATGTTCAGTTAAAAGGGCTAACCAAAATTAGTATGATGATCTACGAACTTTTCTAAGAATCTTTCTAGCACGTTCTTTTCTATTTTAAAAGCACCTTGTAAGATGAATGTTGGAAGCTGTGAACCCCAGATCCTGAATTTCTGGTAAACAACTTGTAATGCTTGCAGCTGCTCTGAGCACGAGACCCTCAGGAGTCTGATGGCAGGGAAGTGGTTTCTGGTGGGTTTGGTTGGGGTGTGGCTATCAGTTAAGGATCCCTACATAAGCTGCTGCTGGACACAATAAAGGGGCATTCCTGTTTCAAGGATGGCCCGTGTCGCTGTCTGTGTGTCCTTGTGTATTTAAATCTCCAGCCCCTTGCCCGAGGCTCGCGAATGGTCCTGTAGTGCAGGCTTCGCAATACAGGCGTAGTACCGTAGTACACATAGTCCAGGCAGGAGCTACAGATGAATACAATGAGATAAATCTAAGTGAACCAACCCTAATCAGTCGTTTTTTCCCTTAAATTTCAGAACACAGCCCACAAAAGCACAGCAGGTGCATGTAGGCACATGACTCACGCTGGTTTTGATGGGCTCAGAAGTTTTCTGGTTTCAGCTATTCAGTGGCTATGAATAATCTTATGGAACCCTGAGAAGACACTGGCTAGCACCAAGTCAAGACTTCGAGGCAGAAACATGTTCAAATTCCAGTACCACCATATGACCCCGAGTCCAGTCTCAGTGTCCTCAATTTGTAAAATAGGACCTGATAGTGCATGCACAGAAGCTATCAAAATAATTTAATAAATACCTTCTCCACACACCTCACCTACTGCTCAGGAAACTCTTGGGGCCACACACCAGACCTCTTTCATACATGTACTCCTAGTAAAATGCATGATGTTTGCCACAACAGCTTCAGAAACTGCCAACTGAAAGTAATCTAGATAAAACCTCAGGAGTCACACGTGAGACAATCACAAAACGACAGTAACACACACACCCAGAAAACAAGAATGTGCATTTCAATCACAACTTCAGCAAGCAAGCAGAGGACTGGAGCTTCAATATGCAGTTTCAAATCTTCCCTTCCTCACATCTAGGAGACTAAGGATTTCAGCATTCTAACTCAGAAATAATTCTAGATGTTATTTTCATTACTGAGGACTCTCTGTGAGTCTGCCCCACCACATTTACAACTATATTTCAACAAGAAGGGAGGCAGAACAGCAATAACAGCCACACGCTTATAGTCACTCACAAGAGCTGGGCTCAAATTAACCACTGTCCATATACACCCACTGGCTATTCTGGTTCACAAACCAAACTACAGACACAGCACACTATAGCCGAAAAATTACCTCTCGAACTTCATCGTCTTCTTCATTGGTGTTTTTCTGTCTGCTCTCTCTGAAACGCCGGACCTAGACCACAATAAAGAAAGTCAGACACCATGTACGTTCTCACAGTAGAGCCACCCAGAGTACTGGTGGCAGAAGAAGAGAGTCATAGTAATGTGATGGTTTTGTGGTCTGTGCCACCCAAAGACTGAAGCATTCATTAGAACTCTACTGGGAGAGCAGCACAGGGAATGGGTGCTTTGCCTGGGAGATCTGTTCACCATACACAGGGAAAAGACAGCAAGGAGAGGAAAAGGCTTGGGAGAGACTTGTAAAAAGTCACCACCAAAGCCAAGAAGCTGGATGAAATTAGAAGGTGGGTAGGTAGATGTAGGGGCCCAAGGACTGAGCCCTGGAGAGTCCAGCTTAAGAGGATGGAGAGATGAAAGTTACCAGGAAAGAAAATTCTCCATTAAGGACGGAAGAAAGCAGGCCTCAGGTATGGAATCATGTAAGACCTGTAAGTTTAAAATGTCTCAGGAGCAGACAAAACATCACAGGAGACTTTGACGAGGGCAGCTTCACTTCACTAGAACCTTGGTTCAAAACCAGCATGGGAGCCAGGCATGGTGGCACACATCTTTAATCTCAGCACTTGGGAGGAGGCAGAAGCAAGTGGATACCTATGAATTCTAGGCCAGTCTGGTCTACATAGTGAGTTCTAGGACAGCCAAGGCCACATAGAGAGACCCTGTCTTTAGGGAAAAAAAAAGAGAGAGTAAGGCATAGTGCTCTGGGTACCAAAACACTGTTATTCACAGATAACAACAGGTGGAGAAGGCAAACTAAGGGGCAATGAGGCAAATGCCAGATGCGTTTTAATCCTCACAACGGTGGAGATTCTGTTTTTCATCCATTTTACAGTTAAGGCACAAAGAGCCTAGAGAATGCAAGGGCCAGCACACGAATGATAAGGCTTTTGACTCTGAGCACAGACAATGCTCTTGGCTCTTGGCTACCATGACACAGAGACACACACGGTGCAGCTAAGGAGTCAGTGTCACTGAAGACAAAACAACAACTCCAGCACATTCCAACGTGCGGCTCTGCATCCTTACAGTCCTGTAACATTATACTGAAAATACTTTTCCACATCTTTCAAACACACTTTTTGCTTGTTTGAGACAGGGTCTATGCAGCCTAGGCTGGACTGAAAATCATTATGTACTGAGGATGACCTCCAACTCCTGATCTTCCTACATCTACCTTCTAAACACTGGGGTTATGAGCATGCATAGACCTGACCAAAATCCTAATAATTATTAGCTATAAAAACGTCTAGGTTGTCTACATGACAGTGCTCAATGAAACTGAGTTTCCCAACTACTGCGCACTGAGGACAGCACTAGCAGGACCTACTCTGTGCACTAGTTTTCATCTGACTGCTGTCTTAGGACACACCCTGGGGCTGCACTAAGGAAAGGACCTCTTCAGACCCTGCAGTGCCCACAGCCGTGCTGCTTGCATGAAGCTCCTCCAGCAGGGCACTTACTACCAGCTTTCTTAAGTCAAATTTGACAAATAAAATCCATGTAATATTAATGGTCTTGGTTAACTGTGATTAAATACTGTGGTCTCAAGCTTGCTACACATTTATACTTCCTTGTGAATTCCCTTTTCATGTCTTTTGTTCATGGCTCTACTGAAATGTTTAATGTTTTCTAAAGCTCACGTTTTATTTGAGTCTTTTAATATCATATTGAAAGTGTTAGTCTTTTCTTTTGTACATTCATAAATATTTTCTCCACATTCATACCCTTTAATTTTGCTTTTTGACACACCAACATTTAAATTTCAATGTGGTCCAATGGAAGCTTTTTCTCTGTCGCTCCTTGATATGCAGAGGGAAAACATGCTCCAGGTAAGACTCAAAACTCAATCAAAATGAATGAAAAACACGAGACAGCAGCAATTCTTATGCTGCAAGCGTCACTCTGCAGTGCTCTCAGGAGCTCAGAAAGACGCTTTCTCAGGACAGAACAACCTTTACTCAGCACCCGCCACATGTAAACTCCTCCGGGTGCTGCTAGACACTGTCTAATTTACTCCTCATTTTATCTCCTCAATTTTATAGATGAGGAAACCAAACTAATCAGTTAATCAAAACCAAACAAAACACAACATCGGCAGCTCACCTCTTCGTCAATCTTGTCTTCCAGAGCATCGATGTGGCGTTCCTTCAGAAAGCGCTGTGTTTTCTCCAGCTGGTACTTCACTAATTCTTCAATCGCATCCTTCTCTTCCTTATCCACAAACTCCTGAACTGCTTCCCCCATCCCTCTTTCTGTCAGCAGTGAGAGCTGAACATTCTGCAGGAGGAAACACACGCTGTTAGGTGCACAAGTGCTGTGTTCCTCAGCCAGGAACTCCCCAAGAAGGAAAACACAGTCTCTTATGGAAAAGGAAGTGCTGGGGTCAGCAGGCAGCACTTAGCCAAGGGCCAGAAAAATGGGGGAGGAGTCAAAGAGAGTTGTAACTTCAGGGGTCTGAAAGGCTGTGACAGTCCCCAGAAAAAGCCATGAAGGATGACTAGAAATGAGGTGAGGCTTTGTGGGAGGGGAGATAACGGTTGTAAAAATTTTGCCATCTCACTCTAGGCCTTGTGACTGTTTTATGGTGAAGAAGTCTGAGGCTACAGATGGTATTGAGGCTCCTCATCACCTGCTATAAACTATGGAGATTGCTGGGGGTGCTCCAGGCAGAAGAAGGAGGCCCAGCTGGAAAATGGACCGGGATGCAACACTGCTGGCTGTGTGCATGGACAAGGAGACCCAGCCAGGATATTTGAGAACTGCAAGAAACTGAGGAAGGTTAAGAAACAGACTCTCCCTACATGGCCCTCCGACACCTGGTTTTCAGGCCAGAGAGACCAGCGCCATTTCTGACCTACACAGTTGCCAGGTAGCAGATTTGTGTGTGGGGTTTTTTGTTTTGTTTTGTTTGTTTTGTTCTTTGAGACAGGGTTTCTCTGTAGCTTTGGAGCCTGTCCTGGAACTAGCTCTTGTAGACCAGGCTGGTCTCGAACTCACAGAGATCCGCCTGCCTCTGCCTCCCAAGTGCTGGGATTAAAGGCTTACAACCACCGCTGCCTGGCTCAGATTTGTGTTTTTTAAAATAAATGCAACTAAAAAAGTCCAAGTAGTTTTACTAGCATATGATTGTTTAGGTTTTTAAAAAAAGTAACTAAATTAAAAATTACATTCAAACATAAGCTAAAATCTCAGATCAAGACTTACAACAAAGACAAGGAAGCCACACACCAGTGAGTCCTTGCAATGACAGCAGCAGTGACCAGAGAACACTCTGGTGTACTGGCTACTGCAGAGCCACCGGGGAGTCACTTCACATACAAACTACGCACACACTAAAGTCTGCTGTTGGCTGTTCTTAAAGCCTAAGCGGTAAGGAACTACCTTCTCTGCGGTCTGGAAATACTGCTTCACCAAGTCTTCTACGCGGAGTGTCGTTCCTTCTGAAGCAGGTTTTGTGATGAGCTTCCCAAAGTTGATCTCCTCACCTACAGAAAGGGGCCAGGAAGAAACAGTGCTCTTCATAACACACTAAAACAGCTAGGCTCTCACCAACACTTCGGGGGCGCCACATAAATTTTGAAGCAAAAAAAGGGCCTCAAATTTGCTAATAGCCTTACTGTCATTTGGAGTTCATTTCTTTTTCCACATGGTCCATATGCATTTTTCCCATCTTTAAGGACCATGGCTACTGCCACTGTTCTAAGACTGTCCTCAGACCCCACATAACCCTTTCAGGAAGTACGAATCAAAACACCCCCAAGAACAGAGATATTACTCGCATCTTCCACCAATGACAGAAAAGTGGTAGGCAGAGCTTCCCGGGCCCACAATAAAGCACAGCAGTACCCAAAAGAGCCACTGGTGTCACCACCACACACCCACCCGTTTCAGCGACAGTGCCTCTTACAGACTGGTAAGATACTCTCAGCCCTGAGCACCTGTCAGCACTCTGTGAGAACAGTAACAGGAAGTATGATTAACGCATTTCTGCTGACTTCCTGCGAGGGCAGTCAACAGAACGCAGCAGAAATACAGCAGTGCCACTGATGGTAGAGACACCGCCAGTTCACGGCATCTCCTGCCGCGGGACAAACACCCCTGGGAGCTCCAAGGACACTAACGCTACCTCCTTTAATTACCATGACTGCTCTGCACTGGCCAGACCCTGTGTGAAGGCCATTACAGAACAATTCCAGCTTTGGAAAGGAGCAATCTCAACAGTGGAGAATTATTAATTTATACAGTGTCACATACGTAATAAGTGGCCAAAATAAGAGACTTTCCGTTAAGACATATCCAGGTGGCATCATAGCTACCAAACAACTCAAATTTAAATTAAAAGTATTCCCAGGCCATTCTACTGGGGATAAAACTCAAACAGGGTGAGGTTCTTGTCAAGGAATCAATAAGAAGTGACAAATGAAAGTTCACATCCAGAACCCAGCTCTTGCCCGTGCCTTTCCGAGCCCGACGGCAGCATGATGAGGACTACACGTCAATATCTGAAAGATGGCTTCAGGCTAAAGTCACAACATTTATAAATTACTTTTTAAAAAATTTTGCTGATTTTTTTTTCTCAATGTGTATGAACGTTTGTGTGAATTTATACTATGTACCATGCATTAGCAGTGCTTGGAGGCCAGATGAGGACACTGGATCTCCTGGAACTGAAGTTATAGACAATTGTGAGTCACCGTGTGGGTGCTGGGAATTGAACCTGTGTCCTCTAGAAGAACAGCCAGTGCTCTTAACCGCCGTGTCATCTCTCCCAATCCATCATTCTTATTTTCTTTCGCTGCTGGAAATCTTACTAGATATAAAGGGTGGGGCCTCTATAAAGATTACGGCTGATATTTCTTATGAAATAGCATTATTTAGTTGATGATTTTGTTTTATAGTTAACAGGACACTAAGTGTCTATAAAATTTAACTGGAAATGAACTACTCAATCATCAAAAATACCAAACTACAGGACACTTTTGACTTCAAGTCTGGTCTTCCTGAAGCACTGCATACACTAAGTCAAAATACTTAAAGCTGCAAAAGTTGAATGCATGTTCTGTTCTGTCAACCCATGGCAGGAAAGATGTGCTGGGATTGGCAGATGCCTGGCGCCTGTGAGTGCTGTGACTAGCACCACAGTTGAAAGGCTGTGTTTGCAAACAAAGCCTTCCTCCCAGCCTTCATTCATCCCCACTGCTTTACAGACTGAACACAGCTGGGTGGGACAGTTCAAGTCTGCAGACCCAGCTCTCAGGTCGCTGGGGCAGGATCTAGAGTGTGAAGCCACACTGGGCTACAGAGCAAGACCTTGTCTCCAGAAGGAAATAAAACAAATAATCGGAAAATACCCCAAATGCTTATTTTGAGAAGATAAAATATTCCCTTACCATTTTTTGTCTAACACTACAAATACTAAAATGTCTACTACTATCTTCATTTATTTTACCAAAGACTGATTTACACAAATCCCGCTAAAGCATTCTTTAAGTAAGCAGCTTACCTGTCTTTCCCTTTTGTTCCCTGTGCCTGAAAAAGTGGATGACATCTTTGGGGTTAGCAACCCGATCTACAAACTTCTGGCTAAAGCGAAGAACATTGAAAGGTTCAAAGCCTCCACTGTAGTCCACCTGGAAAGACAGAAAACAGTGCCAATTTTTGAGAAATACAGGGGTTTTTTGGCATCTAAAGTATTTATATCAATCTAAAAGCTCGATGCTTTGACATTTGCAAACTCATGTTCTATGTTTAATGATCATGATGATGTTAAACCATTTGTCCTATTGACAGACTAACACCAGAAGGTGAGGTTTACACAAACACACTTCCTGTTCAAGAGAATAGAGCAATGCCATCCCGACGCTGAAATGTTCTCTATCTCCTGTGACAGCCTAGGTGCACAGCATGGGTACTATTTGAAACAAAGGTGGGACTTCCAATGTTCTCTGCTTTAGCCAGAAGTTTGTGGATGGGGTGCCCAGAGTGGAGCAAGGGGGCCGAGCAAGAACAGATCAGAAAGATCATTTAGGAAATGACAGCAACTATGAATAAAGTAGCAAACCTACCAAACTCACCTGAGATGGGATCGAGCCTCAGGCTTTCTCACTTTTGCCTCTGCTGGTGCCGACTCTACGCTAAGCATTTAACTTACTACTTTTCAGAGAAGTATGTGAAGTCTGTGTTTCTATTAAAACTGGTATGGTTTAATTAGCACAAGGACCTACCCGTAGTCGGACGAGAGGCTTCTCTGGCTGTAGAGAATTCCCCAGCCGCTCCCGCTCAGCATTTTCAAGCATTTCTTCAATCTCAAAATAAAAGCGGCAAGTGTTCAATTTTGTGTAAATTGGCTAATATAGTTTACATTACTGCTGCTGACTGACCAGCCTAACTCCATCTTACGGATGAAAGCCATTCTGTTATAAGGTCAGAACAAGTTCGTTATTATTTGCTGCAAAATTCAAGTTGTCCATGCTTTAACCTGTTTCTGGAATTTGCCACGCTTCCCACCCTATGGAGTTGACTCATACCTTGAATGTACCCTGATTAAGATCAGATGTTCTGTCAAATAATTTTAAAATATTCCACCAAGTTCCTACATAACCAAACCTCTGGAAATCCTCCATCCCTTGAAAAACCCCTCCTATTTTGGGGACTATATAAACCCTACCCTTCTGTGTTCAATTCTGATTTTCAAACCCCACTTTAGGGAGATAGCCCTATCTGGCATAAAATAAATCTTGCTTAATTTGGCCAAGAAATTTGGGTAATGGTCTTTATTCTCGTGGGTGGGATTAGCAGCACAGAATTCTGCACAGCAGCTCCACAGCTGCCTTGACTTCCCATCTCACCGACAACATCTTTTAAACACACCTTGTGGTGCCAACACCATCCCTTAATATTTTTCTTTTGCAAACATTCTCAGCAATTTTTCCATCTCCAATGTAACTCCTTCACAAGAAAATCTATAACACTGATTCTGTTCCAATTTCTAATCATGTTTCAACACGGGTTCCCTTGCCTTAACTTTAAACCAAATAAATCAAGGTTTCCAGTGGTATCATATAGGCTCTCCAGAAAGCTTGGAATGTTTACTTGGAAAAGTTCAAGTAAACAAGATGAGTGTTTCCAATATCTGAAGTTGCCTCATGCTATACCAGGTCAAGCTTATAAAATCTCAGAGATCCAAAAGCAAAAACACTTGTCCTACATTGCTCCAGAGAGCACAAAGGTGCAAGAGGGTAATTTTAATTCCAACACATCTTCCTAACGGCTGCAGCTAGTTGTCAGCCTTAGCTCTTCTCTGAGTCGGAGATTTTCTAATGCTGCCCTGCTCTCCCTGCCTTCACCTGCCACATCCTGGGATTACAGGCTTGCAGCACCATGCTCGGCTCCTCAGCAAGAATATCTGGTGCTGCTGCCATAGCACACACAGACACAGGGACTTGAAAAGTGGTAGCACAACCAAGAAAGTGGCATTGAATGTCTTACAGTCTACAGTCACCTGTGCTGGTGACTACGCTACTGGACACAGAGACCTTCAAGAAGATCTGCTCCGCCGAGTCTCAGTTCAGCGAGCATGCACGGAGCACCCACCAGACAGACAGCAGCACAGAAAAGCTGGGAAGATGGGCATGGCGGCACAAGTGGGTCCCCACATTCCAGAGGCTCAAAGACTGAGAGTTTGAGTTATCGGTGTGAGCTCCAGGCCAGCTTAAAAACAGAACAAGGCTGTCTCAAAAGACAACAAAACTTAACAAGTGGCTCTGTCCTCACAGTGTGACGATAACAATGTAACTATGGTCCATATCAGAATGCCCAGGATGCGCACGGCTTGATTTCCTGCTGCTAGCAACCACTCTCCTCTCTGGATTCTTATAACTCTCCTTAAGGGTGGGGCATGCTGGAAACCTGGCACCTGAGAGGGACAGGCAGGAAGTTCACAGCAGAACCACGTTCCATAATACCCAGGCCTCATGCCAAGAACCTGTCTCAAAGAAAAGCAAAGAAAAACGACAGGAAAAACTTGGAATTTAGGAGGAGGGGTTGCAGTGCAGCTCAACCAGAGGTGAGTTAAACCCTCAGAGAACATTTCACAACCTTTTATCACAACTGTAGAGAAAGGGATTGTGATTTTATATCAACTTGACATGAAAAGAGGGAACCTCAAACAGAGAAGCCTACACTCCTACTCAGCCGAGTCTGAGAAGCCAGTCACCGTGGAACCTGCACACTAAAGCTTTTCAGGCCACACTCAAGCCACACACGTTGCTCCTACAGCTGTGACACTGGCCAGTTGCCTAATCGGAGGTACCAGGCTAGCCCACTCAATGGTAGAAACAACTGCATAAAGAATACCATCTGCATAGCCCTGAAGTCAATTCCTGAAAATAACAAGGAAGAGGGGGAAACAAAGGAAGAAAGAGCAAATGGGAGACAGAGCCTAACCACACACAGCACTGTGAATAGATTAATGACAGCCTTCGACACAGCACACAGCAGCAGTCGGTACGGATCATGACCATCATTATCTCCATTTCCGACCTTACACAAGACTACAAAGTAAAGCCAAAGCTGACAGAATATGGACTGAGCATGTCAGCATGTGAGGCTAGCAAGCTGCCCGTTTACATGTGATAAAATGTGCAGCCCAACTACAGCAGGGCACCCAGAACCTCCACAGAGGCTGAGAAAGGGAGGCTGAGTTTTATTTGAAGTAGTTTTCAGGGTGGAAGGTGTGCTATGGAGATGAGAGGCGTGGGACCGTAGCGTCCTCCCAGCTCCAAAGTCAGGGTCTTCACAAGGAAGATGAACCAACTGTAACAAGGATGAAAGTGAGGAAACTGGATGTGTATGCTCAAAAGAAGTTCTGGGAGAGGTAACTAGCTTCTCTATAGCTAACACCCTTCTATGTTAAAAAAAAAAAAAAAAAAAGTCTTTGCAACTAAATATTCAGCCCCAAAAATCCATTTGTACTTCCCTCTCTAAGGCCCGGGAACACTGATAAAGAGGTGCAGAGACCTGTGAGGGCCAGAAGATAAGAATGGCTGCAAGACTTCACCTGTGGGCACAACACTGCAATCAAGAACTCAACTGCAGTCGCATCTGGCTGCACAAGACCAACTACTGGATACCGAAGGGTTCTGGAGAAGGGGTAGTCATCTTCAATTATGTACTCACTGATGCCGGGCCCACCAGGCACCAAGGTAAGGGAGCCAGCCCCGTTTAAACTCAATGACTCAAAAAACAGACACAAAAGTGGAAAAGATGTCTTCGTGGGGGAGAGGGGGGCTTCAACGGTGCAAGGGAGAGAAGGGGACGTTATATACATGTATGAACTTGTCAAAGAACAAATTTAATCTAAATAATTACACTTAAGAAACAAGAAGACTTTGGCCTCATTTCCCAAGCGCCAGTGGTGTTGCAGCTTCATAGGTCCCGCTGCTCTGCCCAGCGATTTCTCAGACAACACAGACCTCACAGCTGTGCTCAGAAAGTTACCTTCTCCAAGCAGAAGCTCTGGATGGCTTGGGTCACTTTAGGGTTGTCAGGGTTGAACAGGCTTGGGTGGTTAGCCAGAACCACATCCTCCATGAAGAACTGCCGAACTGTGCGGAGAGGTAGCTTCTGCATGTTCATCTTCCTCCCTTTAACGCGCAGCAAGCCTACGTGTCTATACAGAGGAACCAAGAGCTCAGGCATAGACATCCTCAGGAAGATGGATGCACCAAAGCTAGCAACCAGGTTTGGGGCACATGCCTGTGATCCCAGAACCCAGGAGACTAAGACAGGAAGATAACAGGTTAGAGGCTAGCTGTGATCCCTTCACAGACGAAAGGCTCCATTTTTCACTTAGTAATTATAAAAAAATACTCTTAAAAATACATGTTTCTGTTAATTTAATTTTTTATAGTAGAAAATGGCAAACATTCTTCTTTATAAGAATAAAATATACTCTTCCATCATCTCCTGTCTGAGCAGATACAACTTCATAATGAAACAAACCTGACAAAAGTATAATAAAATGCTAACCAGATCATGACAGAGCCACAGGGAAAACCACAAGTACACACTCCACTGCCATGCTCCTTATACCACATTACCATAACCATCAGAATCTCAGTGGAACCACTGGGTGAGACCTTCTACAGAAGCTCAGTTTAAGTTGTTGGCATTTTGTGAACTTACAGAAAAAACCATTTCCCCATTTTATTGTGGGTAAAGAAACGCATGCACAGCAAAGTTAGAACTCTGGTAGGGAGCCCATTTTACCCAATTCTTGGATTCTACTGTGAGGCATTTTATTAAATTAATTAAAGTATCTACCGAGCTACCTATTTTTTAGATGTCAAGGTAAACTACAGATATCTGTACTACTTCTCTTAAAGCAGCAAGCGCTTGTTTGTTTGATTTTTTTTTTCACTTTTTTATTTACCTAGGAATAAATAAGACGAGGTGGGGAGGGACCTTCAAAACCAAGAAAACAGTGCAACTACAATACCCAACCTTCACACACAAAGTGCCCTTCAGGGAAAGAGAGACGGCTCAGTGAGTTAAGCACTTGTCTGCAAAAGCCTGAGATCTGAGTTTGGTCCTCGAACACAAGCCAACTGGAAGAGAACGGGTTCCATGACATATGTGCATCCTCACACCTCCCTCCATCACTCACACACAGAGTAATGAATGAAATCTAAAAATTAAGCAAGCTATTCTCTGCTGTCAAACCATGAATGTGGGGTAACCAACCTACAGCACGGATTTCTTAAGGACTGATTTGGAATATGAAAGTACTCACTTCTTCACAGCTTCTCCAGGGGAAAGGGAAGTCACCACTGAGCTTCCAGGCTGAGACACATAGAAGAGCTGCTGCTCATTTTTGGTTGGGCCAATTTTACACTCGTGTTCATGGCCCCAGATAACGAGGTCAATGAAGTCATCCAAAAACTGCTCTGGGATGAAGTTGGTACTCCCGTGTTTACTCCTACACCAAGATTTAAGAGCAGAACATAAGTTCAGAGCAGTAAGGGAGCATTTCATCTTAGGTCTACACAGATCTACGTATATCTTGTCAGAAACTGCCCAAGGGATGGGTATTCCATTGAATTTCAGAGCACAGGTTTATAAATTTGTAGGATATGATCAAACCAGAGGCCTGACTGGAAGCATGAGGAAGCCAGGTCTGCACTGGAAGGAGACGGCAGAGTTTACAGAGAGAATATTCTACTTTGGGCAAGTCAGGAAAACCAGCTCTGTTTATCGCAAACCCACAAGTGGTCCTGACTGCACACCCCACGAAGCAGACAGATTTTAAAAACTGAGTTAAATCTAAACTTGTGATAAAGAACACACTCCTAAGTGTGTTCAGTGATGCTTAACTTCTACTGGCTATAGAAAGAAGGAATAGGGACCAGAGAGATAGCTTAGTGGTTAAAAGCACTGGCTGCTCTTCCAGAGGACCCAGGTCCAATTCCCAGCACACACATGGCAGCTCACGACTGTCTGTAAATCCAGTTCCAGGGGATCTGATGCCAATGTACATAAAATAAAGTTAAATAAATTTTTAAAAAAGGAAGGAATGCGGTGGTTATTTTAGCAGAAGACACTGCAGTGCAATGACCTCATCTGAAAGCTGTGCTTTTAGAATGAGCAGGCCTCTGTGAGGAAGGATCCACCTGAGAGAACAGAGCGCCCTGCAGGGAAGAGCAGGCAGTGAGGGTGCTACAAAGAGAACGGCAGGGAAACTGCAGCTACACTCAGGGAAGATGGAAAGCAAAGTTAAGAAAGCCGTGGGCCTTTGTGTTTCGTATGTCTTTGTGTGAGTCAAGTATGCAGGGTGTGAGGAAAAGCAGGACACACGCAAACATAGCACAATGCCATGGTGCCTTCATAGAGCACACAACCCAGCCTGTGAGAGACTGCAAAGTCTCCTGCTAGCTTCAGTATCCCTCCTTCTGCAGCAAGAACCGAGCTGGTCACTATAAAGTGGAAATAAGTCAAATACAAAGGGTGCCTAGCACACGCCCAGCTGAGCAATCCTGTTTCCCAGATGTAGCAGCAGCAAATGTGTCTAAGAATGAAAAGGGGAGAAACGAATCACACCCAGTGGTGAGAAAGAAGGCAGGAATGATGAAGCAGGGCAACTCTGGGAACCTGGCATCCTGACTAGCTGTGGCAGGCCACGGACTGAAGTCCACGGACACTGTATTCTAGAGGGAAATGTGCTCCTCACAGAGACACAGGTGTGCACTTTAGCTAAGCAACAGAAACAAATAGGACAAAAATGTGTTCAGAGGTGGAGCACTTGCTAAGCAATGCGAGGGCTGGGTTGGATCCTCAGACACACACATGCATGCACTTATAATCTGGGCTTCTTTCAGGAAAAAAGTCACGAATATGCAAAAGACAAGACACAAATGGACTACGCGGCTCTGGATTAGATTGGAATCAGCATGAACTTGTGGTTGTGTTTCTGTGCGCACACATACAGTTGTTTACATGTGTTACTATTATTAACTCTGTTCAACTGAGATGGCCGAGAGGTTCAGCATCAACAAGCACACCTAGAGTTCACACAAATCCTAGCTCTAAACACTGCCAACAAAAGCAGTCAGAATTCCTTGGTGAAATGGTTGAGGGAGGGCAGGAAAATACAAGATTGAATTACAGCATCTTGTGACGTCAAGAACCTAAGGCTATGCTCAACAAATAAACTAATAAACAAAAACAGATAGCTGCCCTCTCTCTTGTTCTTCCTCTCCCTCCTTTCCCCCTGCTCCAAGTCCTTGATATAAAAAGATAAATAGGAAAATAAATGAGAAAGGGTCTGGTCTTTCCTACAAGGAATCCCAATGATCAAATATGGCAAGAATGGAGGTCAACAAACAGCACAAGTCTTACACCACAGTGCTAACTACTAGATACAATCACCCTGCGGGCGATCAGTCCATAGCAGTACCATGGGAAACAAGGTATTCATGTGGTCAGAAAGCATCTTCCCCCAACACTAACTTCAAAGGAGAAAGTGGGAACTGCATTGAGGAGCAAGCTGTTGTCTTCTTGATCACACGTGAGTATCACCATCTTCTGCAGTGAGCTGTCACACAACCCTCAGCAGGGCTTTCCACCTTCTTAAGGCTTAATCTTTTGGAATAATGGGTTTTCCTCCACCTTTCCCTGTGCAGTGCAAGGTGAGGCAGAAAAGGGAATGCTCGGCAGTGGTGTAAAGGTTCAAGGAACCCTCGCATACCAAAACACACTTGAGACCGTTTCAGACTCCTAAATCTACCTCCTGAAGCCTTGCACTGACCCAGCACTCAACCTAAATGCGCTCAAATACACTGCATGGTCAGGCCCAAATCCTGGAGTCTTCTTCAGAGACTTCCCAGCTCTGTCTCTCTCCCCTTCCAGCTTCCTGCACTCATTCCTACCACCTCACCTTACTTTTACACTGTAGCGATCACAGGACAAACCACGCTTCCTCTGGTTTCTCTTCCTCCCGATCCATCGTGGACTCTACCAACAGAATAAACTACCTACAACCATTAGCAAAAGACAACTGATCTAGGCTAGGTGTGGTGGTGCACGCCTTTAATCACAACACTCAGGAGGCAGAGGCAAGAGGATCTATCTCAGAGAGTTGGAGGCCAGCCTGGTCTACAGAGCGAGTGCCAGGACAGCCAGAGCTGCTATAAAGAGACACCCTGCCTTGTAAAAACAAACAACAAACAAAGCAAACAGCCGCTCTAGCTATGTTTCTGGAAAGGCATTCACACACACTGAGATGTCTAGAGAAAGTACTTACTGCATCAAACTTTATAAAGCAAAAAATGTGAAATAAAATGTTCACTGACAGAAGAAAACTACAACTACAGATTAGTAACAGAAAAGATGAAATTCAGTAATGTAATATTAAACACTTACTCACTGTCCGTGACACAAAGCGATTCCTAATATACTAAGTATCTTCTATGGATGATACAATATCCATAATAAAGCACATGGAATGATTAATTCACAACCCAAACAATGTTTCCTAAGGGATATGAGGAAGCAGATGGGATGCTACAGGAATGACACTGGTCCACGCTTCGCTGCATCAGTGTCTGTTATGGTCACTCTGTGTCTCCCCTATTCGGGGCACACACTCTTTCCTGGTTATTAATCCTCATGAACTGGCTTCAGCCTGAAGTCGCACAAAGCAGTGTGACTTCTCCTGAACCCACGCTGGTGATGGTGAAGCAGTCAGGCTTGTACTAAAGTCCTGCACAAACAGATCCTGAGAACCTCAGTGCTTTATTTCAGAGTACCTTTACCTGTTCTGATGAATCACAAATAAGTTAAACCACGAGTTCTCGTCTTCCTTCGGTCTCAGCATGGTCACTTTTTTATTGACAAACATCCGATAGAGCCTTTCGTCTGGAATGGACCCTGGGGAGGACACAACACTATTTCAAACGTGTTTTCCTACTGTGGACTTCAATGATGAACAGGCTTTTCTTCTAAATTATGCATTTCTCACAGGACTACACTTCTCTGTTCAGATGTGTATCTGAATTCTGGAATCGCATGTATAAATGGTATTACTAACAAGTGCCCCAGGACAACAGCACTCAAAGAACACTTTCTACTTTGGAATTAGGGTAATATGTACAGAGAGATGAATGAATTTCCTATGCTTACATTCCCACCAGGATGTCTAGTGACACCATGTGCCTTCCCTTCACTATGAATGTAAAGTAAACGTGCTTTTCAGCTATGATATACCATACAGCATGCACAGAAATGAACACTAAAAGGGATGAGATTTTCTAAAACATGTTTTAAAGTGTAATACTACTATATATACTGAGTTTGTGCTTTTTAATAATTTAATAATTTTAAGTAATCCTTCCCATACGCAGAGGTTTGTCTTGGTCTGGGTAGAAGACACCAAGAAAACAGGTAAGAAAACAGTACTAAGTTGTCATCATTATGTTAAGAGGAAAGGCCAAGACATGAACACAGAGAATAACTGTGGAGCTGGAGAGAGTTAACCAAGGCTGCTAGTTCACATTAACTAGAGAAACAGAGCCAGTGACCGGACGCACAGAGACATCTGATGTACAGAGGAGACAGAGTGGACACAGGTCAGGCAAGCCCAGCACACAAGGCTGTGCTGGCAGTAACAGCTGCACGTAAAGCACTACATGTTGGTAAAACCTGAAGACACAGGCTGAGGGAAGGGTAACTGGTGAGTATGTTTTCAGTGCGAGGGAACGGGGACCCCACTTCTGCTCCAACACCCACAGGTGTAAGAACTGTGGGGGCGCACAGGTGCATCACTGAAGGGAGAAGGTGGAGGTGGGACTCTGAGAACTTGAGCACAAAGCTCTTCTTTAGGTTTAGGATGGAGCAGACACCAGTTAAGGAGGACAGAAGAGGATGGCTAACTCGGGGGAAAATGGATCACTGAAGGGGCTGCCCCAGATAACAGTGAAGACACAGTTCAATGTAAGAGCAAGCCACTTTTCTGGAGATACAATGCCCAATACTGCAGACACGAAAACTGCTAATGGCTTTTTCAAATTGTCTATCCTCTCCGTGTTCTATCTCAGATTCAGACATAAAGCACAAAAAATGGATTTTACACATTATTTCTAGCTTCAAAAATACTTGAGATACAGGGGCTGGTGAAACGGATCAGCAGTTAAGAGCACTGACTGCTCTTCCAGAAGACCCGGGGCTCAATTCCCAGCAGCCAACATGGCAGCTCACAACTGTTTGTAACTCCAGTTCCAGAGACTCTAGCACCATTATACCAATGCATATAAAATGAAATAAATTTTAAAAAATAAAAACATATTTGAAATATAAAATATACAGAAACTTTTAAATGTGTTCCTTGAAAACAGAGTTTATTTTTTCATTCATGTATAATAAAGTCTAGCAAAAAAGGCGTTCCTATAGAACACTAAAGAAAAGGAAAACAGAAGCTAGGAGTAGTCATGCACATTTTCAATCCCAGCACTCAGGAGGCACAGGCAGGTAGATCTCTGAGTCTGAGACCAGCCTGGTCTACAGAGTGATTCCAGGACAGCTAGCGCTACATAGTGAGACCCTGCCTTGAAGAAACCAAAACAAACAAAAAGACAAATTAAAAAGAAAAAAAAAAGAAAAAGAAATGGAAAACAATGAAATTAACAAAGCAAAGTGTGTGTGTGTGTGTGTGTGTGTGTGTGTGTGTGTGTGTCTGAGAGAGAGCATTGAGCATGCCCATGAGATGTGCAGGCTGAGACAGAGGTCAACCTTGAGTGTCATTCTTCAGGTGCCATCCACCTTACTTTGAGGACAGAGCCTCCAACTGGTCTATAGTTTCCTGATCTGGAACTTTCAGCTGCCCAGTGAGCCAAAAGGATTTTCCCTTCTTCACTTTCCCAGTGCTTGGATTACAAGCACATAATAGCACACCCAGGGTAAAGCAGATTTCTGAATCTGCTTTAATAATAAAACGTCAGTTGTAGAATAGAAGCATATGTGAGCCACTAATGCATGAGATATATAAATAATTTTCTACCAGTCACATTGAAACAAAATAGCAAAATTAATTTTAATGTATATAATCTGTTACTACTGGGTCTTCCTATCTCTTATGTCTAGTGTATTACAACTCAGAGTAGCCAGATTTCAGTCTCACAAACCAAAAAGGCCAGTGCCACTGTATAGACAGGATGCTCTGATCTCTCGTAGACTTCGATGATACCAAAATGCAGTTCTGCTAAAGAGCGTGCCCTTCTATCATCCAGCTTTATAAAAAAGAGTCCAAAACAATAAATAGGACGGAAGCAGAGATTTTGTTTGTTTGTTGTTGTTTTCTGCCAAAACTGCCATTAAGTATAAATAGCTCCTGTCCTTAGAAATACCAAAACTATTTTCACCAGAGCATTCCACTATCTTTTAGAGGTACCAATAAAGAATAATCACAATTGTCTGACTTCTCCCCCTTTAGAAGTCCCTTGGGTCCACACCAGCTCTGAAACTGTATTTGCCGACTGTTCACAATTATCGACTGAAGGGGACAATGGAATCCCATCTGACCTAAGGCCATTACCTACCTAGGCCGTACAGAGCGAGTTTCGTGCTTCCTTTCTGCAGCAGAACTGGACTAATGTCAATCTTCTCCACAGACATTGACCGTCCAAAGTGATTCACAAACCCAGCACAGCTTAAAATATCGAGGGCACAGAGGGCATCTGCCTATACAAAAGTTTCAAAGAGCATTGAGTTTGACCACAGAAAAGGATGGTCTGGGTGAGAACCATCCTACCGGTCTACGGTCTGAGGAGCACCACACTCCCACATCAAAAGCACACTCTGTAGACTATAGGATAAGTGTGTCTTACTCACAAAACTTGGGATCAAAGTGCTTTCAGATTTAGGGTTTTCTTGACTTTAGAATGTTTGTGCAGATCTTACACCAGGTGAAAATTCCAAGGTGAAAATCCAAAACCTAAAATGATCTAAAACCAAAAACCTCTGCATCTCAACTTTGAGGTTTTCTTTTTGTGGCACTTTTAGCTTAATACTTTTTGAATTAAGGACACTCAACCCTTAATTACAAAAACAAATTGCAGCAATGTCCTCTGAAAACAAAGTCCCAATGTTAAGCAGCTGCTATTCTTCCAGCCACAGACCACCAACAGCAGCTGAAAGTGTACAGCAGAGGCAACGCTAGTGTCTCATCGGTATCATGATGCCCTGGCCACTCAATCCCAAATCAGCTGTGAATCAAATCAGCCTTGGAATCAAATGAAGTTTTGTTTTTTGGGGGGTACATATATGACCATAGACTAATGACTTCCAGTGACAGGAGAAAACACAAAGGAACTTTGGATTGGGATGGCCAGTCTTTCATATCAAGCAGGGAATAAAATAATTGAATCTAGATTTAAAATACTAAAGAAAAAGATCATTTTTTATAGTGAGAATCCAGGAGATCAAGGATGCTGAGGAGCTCTAGGTAGGTAGCCACCCCTACTCCCAGCTAGGCACTGTTAGCAAACTCCGAAGAAACAAAAGCAAGGCCCCAGCAGGCCCTGGATCAGTGGCTACGATTCCAGCTACTTATAGGCTGAGACGGGATCACAAAGTCAAGGCCAGCTTGGGTAACTTATGAGATCTTGTCTCGAAAAACAGTAAAAAGAGGGCTGGGGATGGTAGAGTTGCCACCTGGCATGTGTCAGGCCCTGGTTTCCACCCTCAGTACTGCAAAGAGAAAAACAGTACGGCTCTCTCCTACAACAATTCTTACTCCAATTCAAAATCAAACAAAGAAGTCTAAAAACATAAACAATAATAAACTGACTTCATTGCTCAATCTGACTGCAGTTTATTAGGGAAAAAAGGGATGATGCTTTGCACTAATCCAATGTCATTCTGAAGATTCCAACAAAGTGTATAGTTACCCCTGTAGGATCATCATGGTTGCCATGGATACTAAACACCGGAATGGAAATGTTGAGATTGCCATCTTGATAGTTCACCCATGGAAACCTCGAAAGAAAACAAAGTGAAAGTCTCTATAAGGGATAAAGCAGTTTCCCTAAAACATTCCTTCCAAGCAGTTGCGCACTAGGCAACTACAAACACTTATCTGCAGACAATCCTAGTCAGTGTAGGAAATAAACTGCTAGATTAAAAAGTTTGAAAGTATAAAGTGTACGAATATCTAAGAACAGACAGCTGATAACTGGGAAGCTAACAGGCCTCTAAAATGTCTAACCGTTTGTATAAGGCTTCTCCTGATAGCTCGGAGGAGGGGAGAAAACAATCCGGGCTCATATAGCAGTGTTGCTGCTCAGGGTTTTGGAATCCAAAACAACAAGAACATAGCCTATCACCAGCTCCACTGCCTCTTCAGTTGCAATTTAGGCCCTACCCATCCCTTCCCCCAGCCATCAGGCTCCTCTTCTCTGTGACAGTAGGGTGAGCCACTTCTATTATGGCTCTCAAAAATTTTATCTACGTATAAAAAAGTACATTTTTCCTTCTTACATGGTAGGACAATATGGCTTTCTGTCCCTGCTTAACCTACTTTGAACTCTTTCTACAGAAATCTTGTATGCAAAGAACTCCCTTCAGTTTTTGCCAGCTGCATGGCTTACTGCCCATAGCTGAAGCAGGTCCTCACACTTAGACTCTTGTCTGGTATTATTTTTGAAGTGATACACAGGGAATGTGCACCAGGGATTGCTCCTCAACCTCAGCCACATGATTATCATCAACCCTTTCAGTCTACACCAGCGGGTCTGAGCTCTGCCATAGTTCTAATTAGCCAAGGATCTTTTTTTTTTTTTTAAATATTTATTTATTATGTATACAATATTCTGTCTACATGCATGCCTGCAGGCCAGAAGAGGGCACCAGACCTGATTACAGATGGTTGTGAGCCACCATGTGGTTGCTGGGAATTGAACTCAGGACCTTTGGAAGAGCAGGCAATGCTCTTAACCGCTGAGCCATCTCTCCAAGATCATCACTCATACCACACTCCAAGAGACTCAGCAGTTGGCATGGACACTGGAATGAGTACCTGGGAATCCTAGGTAACTGCAATGTGCACTGAGGACCGAGAACTGTCTACCTATCCAGTGTCCATGAGAAAACTCTTCAGCCAGTTCATCTGATGCCTTAGAAATGAGACAGCTGCTCTCGGACAGGCATTAGCGCTGTTCCCATTTCTGTGTAGTATGTATACTCTCTGTCTACATTTTATAAACTAATGGACTTTCTTAATCAACAGAAGGAAATATTCGTTTAAAAATCAGCCTTAATTTCTGTTGAGTTGCAAGTATTCTTCCTTCGTGAACTATGACATTTAAGTTTGCTCTGAAATTCTTTTGGTATAAATATATTTATTTTTAAGAAGACAAACGTATCAATCTCTTTTTTTCTATCTCCTGTGATTTTTACATGACATCTCAAATAAATTCAAACCACAAACGGTATGAATTGTATGAAAGAGTGGGTAGTTGATTAGTGGGAAGTTAACAGGTCTCTAAGGTTTAAAATCTTTGTAGAAGTCAATTTTTATAGCAAGGAAAGAGATGCTTTTACAAAATCCTCTACCTAAAGACTTTCTTTCATACTTAATAATTCCTCATTAAACTTTCACTGAATAACAGGTCTGTCCCCAAGTGTGAGCTCTCACCTCCATCAAAAACTGCCTGTCTTTTACACGAGGCTCTTTCTGGAGTTCCTAGTCTGTGCCACCTCTCTCTCTCTGCCAGTTCATGAGTCACATGTTTTATTACTTATAACCTGATCAGGCTACTCAATCTTTCCTTATTTCAGAATTTCCCTTCTGTGTCTGTCCATTTTTCCCATATGACATAAGAAAACTGGAACAGGAAAGTAACCAGAATGCAATGGAAAGAGATGAAGTAAAGTTAGTGTTCATATCAAAATAGAGAGTAAAAGATGAAAGCATTGAGGAAAAGAAAATGGGAAACTATTGTTTGACAAAGAAACAGAGTCTAGCAGGGGTGGCGTAGGCCTTTAATCCCAGCACTCAGGAGGAGAGGCAGGCAGATCTCTGAGTTCAAGACCAACCAGCCTGTTTACAGAGTGAGTTCCAGGACAGGCTCCAAACAGGCTCCTGTCTCAGAAAAAAAAAAAAAGAAAAAAAAAAAAGAAAAGTAACAGAGTTTCTGAAAATAAGACAGGTGGGGGGGGGGGGGCACACACTTTGAATCCCCAGCACTTGGAAGCAGAGGAAGTCAGATCTCTGTGAGTTCAAATCCAGCCTGGTCTACATAGTGAGATCCAGGCCAGCCAAAAGTATATAGCGAGACCCTGTCTCAAACGGGGGTGGGAGGGGGGAGAATTTCCTGAAATTACTAAAAAAAACAATTCTTAGATTAAAACAGAGGAGGAAGGACTGGGGACACGGCTCAGCAGTAAAGTGAGCCTGGCATGGGAGGTCGTGGACCAACCCCAGCACCACTGCAGGAACAAGTGGACAGTAAGGCATATGATGAAACCCAAGCAGATAAAGAATTCAACCCGCAGCTAATGGCTGAGGTAACAAACGCCTCAGTCCCCCGAGTGCAGACTACTCTAGGCAGTTTTCTCGCTAGCTCAATCTCCATAACTTATGTACCTAGCACGAGTAAGGAAACGACGTAGTCGTGTGACCATTAAATGGCAAAGCCATGCTCTAAACTGACACCATCCAGAATTTATGCTCTTTGGGAACTGGGGAGACAGGCCAGACAGTGCCTAGGTTGATGCATGCCCACACAATCCTCCTGCCTGTCTCCAAGGTGATGAAATTATGTGCGATCATAACCACATCCAAAGAACCCATGTTCTTAACCACATGCTTCACTGGCTTCCCAACAATTAAACTAACAACAGATTCAACAGCAGTATAAATTAATTAATTAATACGTAGGAACTCATCACTCACATATGTCTAAAGAGAAACGACTTCAGGCTGGGCAGTGGTGGCACACGCCTTTAATCCCAGCAATCGGGAGGCAGAGGCAGGCGGATCTGTGAGTTCGAGGCCAGCCTGGTCTATAAGACCTAGTTCCAGGACAGGCCTCAAAGCTACAGAAACCCTGTCTCGAAAAGCCAAAAAAAAAAAAAAAAAAAAAAAAAAAGGAGGGAGAGAGAGAAATGACTTCAGACTTCAGAGAGCAGGTGGTCATGCACGGTAGTGCACACCTGTAATCATAGCTAGCAGAGACAATGAGGCAAGAAATCATAAGTCTGAGGCCAACAGGGATATGTAGAAAGAAGCTATGGAAAATAAAGGGGCTACGGAAGGAGGTCAGTGACAAATACCCGTGAATACTCGGACATTCCTCTCTCTAGAGGTAGATTTTAACCCTCTCCCATCGAGTATGGGCTGGCTTAGGGACCCACTCCTAACCAAGGGCAATGGAAAGAAAAACAGCTTTGCATCGGAGAAACTTGAAGACATCTTAGCCTAATGACCAAGGTCAACAACATCAGTGAAGTCTTGGAGAGATCACGTACATCTAACACAAGGCTATCAGAAAAGCCCTTCGCTTCAGTGATAGTCTTCCCTAGCCCACAATCCCTGTCCAAAAGAAACAAGAGAGACAAGCAAATGAGAGGTGGTCTACAAACACTAGCCAGTCGGTACCAGGGCCATCAAAGACAAGGAAAGAAGAGAATCTAGCACCATGGTGACAAAGAACACATTTCACTAAAATATACTGTGGTGTCCGTACAGTACCGAAAAGAAGACAATGGCTTGGGCTGGGGACATAGCTCAGAGGTAGAGTATTTGCTTAATACACACAAGACCTGGCGTTCCAGCCCCAACGTAGGCAAGTTAAAAAAAAAAAAACAAAAGATATCTTTACTATATAATGTTGTAGATTAATATAAGGCCTACATCAAAACTGTATCTGGCCACAACAACAAACCATAAGCACAGCCAAAAGAAAATGACTGAGGAAAAGCCTAAGCCTTTTACTAAGCCAAAAAAATGGCTTAGTAGCTAGCATATATAACTAACTTTCACAAATCATGTCAAAAAAGATTTAAAAAAAAAAAAACACTACGGGGCAGTGGTGGCACACACCTTAAAATAAATTTCAGCACCTGGGACTCTTCAAGTTCAAGGCCAGCCTGATCTACAAAACAAGTTTAGGACAGCCTGGGCTATTCCAGAGAAACTTGTCTGGGAGGGAGGAAGGGAGGAGGGAGGGAGGGAAAGAAGGAGGGAGGGAAAGAAAGAGGGAGGGAGAGAACCAAGTTTTAAAGTAGACAAAAACAAAAGCAAACAAACTCCAGAAGAAAACAAAGAGGATGAGAGATCTAAGATAAAATGAGGTCCAACATTAGTTCCAAAATACAAATCGCCAGGCGGTGGTGGCGCACGCCTTTAATCCCAGCACTCGGGAGGCAGAGGCAGGCAGATCTCTGTGAGTTTGAGGCCAGCCTGGTCTACAAGAGTTAGTTCCAGGACAGGCTCCAAAGCTACACAGAGAAACCCTGTCTCAAAAAAAAGAAAGAAAGAAAGAAAGAAAGAAAGAAAGAAAGAGAAAGAAATACAAATTAATGATATACAGAAAATTCAAAGAACTGCATTTGCTATGAAAACTTGCTAGAATAATGGCAAAAGAGCTAATTAACAGATAATGTGTTGGTTTCCTCAACATGACACAATCTAGAGTCACCCGGGAAGTCTCAGTTGAAGGACTGTCTACTGGCCTATGAGCATAAACAAGGAAATGTTCTTGTTCATGGTAACTGATAAGGGAAGCCAGACCACTCTGACTAGCTGAGCAGTAAGCACGCATGTATTCATTCTCTCTCTGCTCTTGATTGTGGAAGTTCCTGCCTTGGTGTTCCCAGAACGGTTGGCTGTAACCTGGAATTGTAAGTCAAATAAACCCTTTTCTAGTTTCTTTGTGGGGTATTCTGTCACAGCAATAAGAAAGAGAAAACAGACTTATCTATTACACAGAAACCATGCCCAAGGAAACCTTTCCTCAAACGTAAGTGTACTTACCTACTGAAACCAAAGTTGACTGATTGGTCACTGATGATCTCAAACTGCACGGGCCGATCACCCATACAATACTTCCTAAGCAACTCTAAGCAGCTGTGCAGGGTTTTCCTCGAGGGCTTGTTTTCATGGAAAAGATCACCACCTAACAAAATAAAATCCACCTAATCAACAGAAAACGATGTTATAATTGGTAAGTTTAAGGTAAAAATTGTTTAAAGCACAGAAGATATAGAAAAACAGATTTCATAGCCTGATGTGGTCACTTAAGGCCTCTCCTTTCAGAGACCAGCCTTGGCAACATAACTGCTCGATTTTTAAAAACGGGAGAGAACAGCCTAGTGGTGTAGTCTGGCCTGCCACAGATGACACCCATGGTTCAATCACAGCACAAAGACATGGAGACAAACAGAAAGGAACAAAGATTGTTAGCTTTTAATAATTCAAAAGAATTATTAAAGAAACATAGATCTCTATGGCTGCACTAGTCAAGGAACTTTATTAAATCAGATTCAGGTTCAGGTTTAATGAGAGACTCTCAAAAAATAGGGTGGAAAGAACTGAGAAAGACATCCAACATCAACTGCTGGCCTCTGCATGCACACATGAACACATATACCAACATGCAATGTGCCTTGGCATGTGTGAGCACACACCTCCCAAGCCTTTCTCCCCCCCCCACCCCCCCCCACAGAGCTTTAAAATATCAAAGAATGTCAGGCAGTGGTGGCCTGTGCCTCTAATCCCAGCACTCAGGAGGCAGATCTGAGTTCAAGGCCAGCCTGGTCTACGGAATAAATTCCAGGACAGCCAGGCCTACTTAGAGAAACCCTGTCTTGAGGGGTGGGAGAGGTGGGGAATCAAGGAACAAAGAAACAAAATAAAAATAGCTGGATAACAAGGGTCCGTATACAATAAAACTTAAAAGTCAAGAATTTAGATTTTAAAATAAATAGTAAATACAGAAAAAAATCTGAAAGACAAATATAATACACACTTGGACAGGCCTCCAGAAGTTTCTCTCACCTCAGGGAAAGAATCAGCTAAAACCAGCACATTCATCCAATTTCTAAGAGTCCCACAGCTGTCTATATCCTTTCAAGGAGCAAATTACAGAGTTTGAATCCACTGGGGAAGACCAAAGACTTAATCTAAACTTAGATTAAAATGCAATGAATTTCTTAACTGCTAGCAGGACGACTGACGACCTTAGAACCAAACTGAGAGCATGTCACAGCATAAAAGGTTAGAGAAAGGGCACCTAATGGTGGGCATTACATCACCTCTCTTCAGTGGGCTTAAAGGTGGGCATTACATCACCTCTCTTCAGTGGAATTAAAGGTGAGCATTACATTACCACCTCTCTTCAGTGGACTTAAAGGTGGGCATTACATCACCTCTCTTCAGTGGACTTAAAGGTGGGCATTACATCACCTCTCTTCAGTGGACTTAAAGGTGGGCATTACATCACCTCTCTTCAGTGGACTTAAAGGTGGGCATTACATCACCTCTCTGCAGCAGGCTCCAAAGCTGCTTGGAACAACTGCTTTCCTCCCCTTCACTGTCTCTCACTCCCATCACACAGGACAGAGGACACTGCTTTGCCCCCTTTTCCAGCAGTGAGTGGCTTACAAAAGCCGGAGCAAGCACGCGATTATCTCGGCAGGAACACTGCTCTTTCACTCTTACATCACAACTGGAGCATCATTCTGGGGAGGACACAGGCACTAGGAGCCTCTGGGAATTTTAGGGCAAAGATCAACAGCCAGGGGTGACTGGTACAGAGTTCAGCTTTCTTAGATATTACTAAGCAACAGAAAGACTTCACTGTCACAGAATCTCTCCCATAGGGGAACACAAGTAAGCGATGGGTAAACAACTTAATCATTCTACATGAGATCATTACAAAAAAGCAGCATAATGTCACGGAGTGCTCGGAGGTATAAAGGAAAGCCTCTTCAAAAAGGTAAAATATGGTGACAAGTGTCTATAAGTCAGCATTTAGGAGGGGGAGGACCAGAATTTCAAGGCTGCCCTTAGCTACATTATGAGTTCAAAGGCAATATCAGCTATGAGATCACCTCAATAAACCCCCATCCTACTCCTCCCCAAAAAATTAAAATGTGAAGTGAGAAGTCAACCCTGCCCTAATCCAGGTGGTAAACCAGAAAAATTGACCTATAAGGTCCCAGAGAAGAACACACTGGTGTGGACCAGGCAGGGCAACCAAAGATCCTGAACCCTGGGAGGACCAGAGTCAAGTTACAAAGATCCAGACACTTAGGAGGAACCTGCAGCATAAGGATCCAGAGCCCTGGAGGGGCCAAGGTCAAGGTACAGCCTTATATGTGAGTCTGAATCTAGATTCAGAGGAAGGCTGTTAAGATTTTGAGGACAGTGACAGGATCTACTTATGGTATCAAGTTTGCTTTGGCTATGATGCTGACAACACAGGAGGCAAAGTGTGAAGTAGAAAGACCTCTAGGAGCTACTGCACTGCAGGACAACTGAGACAGAAGCTATACGGGTACTGTTATGGGCCTACCAGGACAGCAGAGGGTGGTAGACAGTCAGGGGCTGAAGGGAAACTGCTTGGCAGGCAGGGCACCCTCCTGGACTCTGGGAACACTCCCCCCTCCAATATCCACCTCTATCCTGGTGTTATGTCGGAGTTCAACACCCTCCCACATGACAGACTCCCCTTCAGTAAGGTGGTTTTAGAAATGCCACCATCATCCACCCAGGTTCAACAGATTTGATTCATTTCCAAACCCTGCAAATTAACATATGTACACCTTCTCTTTGTAACTTCTCGTATATTGACTTTGTCTTTTCCAGTTCTTAAAAGCATTAAATGCTCTCCAGTGTCAGCTGCCAGAAGACATTCCACTGCACAGAACAAGAGTCAGACATTTGCAGCTCCCCTCATCAATACAGTTCAAATGCTCAGTTCTAGCCTTTCGACAATATTTTTTAAAAATAAAGTTCTCATTCTCATTCATGTAGTTTAAGCTGGTGTCAAAGTCACTGTAGTAACTGAGAATGACCTTGAACTTCCTGCTCAAGCCTCTCAGTGTTGGGATTAAGATGTGCCACCGCATTCAAGCTTTCTATGCTGCTGGGCTTCAAACCAAGAGCCTTGTGCATGGTACACAGCACTCTACCAACTGAGTTACAGGCTCAGCTCTCTTCAGTGCACACATGGCCCACAAGCGAGCCAAACCAGTCACCTAACATACTCCATGCTATCTTATACCTGTGCCTTCATTTCTGCTTCACACTGAAAGGCCATTCTGTGACCTAGAATTAAAAGCTGCTTCTCCTTCAACACACATTAAATGTCACCTTCTTGACTAAGTTCATGTGACTAGTCTCATCTAAACTCCAATCTCCTCTACCTCTGAAGTCTTAGGAAATGGCGCTTCTATGGGCCTCTTTCCACAAATAATGTTGTACTTGAATGTTTGGGATTTTTGCCTCAAATTCCGGTTGGTTATATGTTCTTTGAACACTAACAGCCATCTTTTTATTAAAGGTAGGAATCACGACAGGTTGGTGCATCGTTAAATACCCCTTGTTTCTAAATTTGAAGGTTATTTGTCAAGGCAATTTCTGCTCAAATTATGAACACAAAGTACTCAAATTTTTAAGTATATTGACATTTAGCCAGAAAATTTGAGTGTATGAAGTTTTGCAATCAACTCTAACTTAACAGAAAAGAGGCTGTTACTCAAGGAAGTACAGAAGAGCACACACAAATGTAACCCAAGCTCACTTCATTTTCCAGGGCAAGTCTTAAAATTTCATCAAACGTCACAAATGTGTCATTTCCTCTAACTGCATCCTTCTCCATAAACCCAAGGTGGATATCAGTGGCAACCAGGATTTTAAACGTGTCTTCATCGTCACTGTATGAAAAAACAAAATTCAATGCTATGCATTAAAAGAATAGTCAAGCAAATGGAGACCTAAACATAAAATAATAACTAATAGCAACTATAAAGCAAATCATTTTCTAGCATCAGACTTGGCATGAAAGTTTGCAGTACTCAACAGATCTTTAACGTCATGGCTCTCCGTTCGATTAAACACAGAGCAAAGGTGAGTGACATTTGTAGGTGTCTCTGAAAATTCGTAGCCTTGATACAAACAGTTTTATACATTCTCAGATCTGTTCCCCACTTTGCTAAACAAAAACCCAAAAGGCTTTGCTCCCTTGCTATTTTATTATATGACTGTACACTTTTCTGAAAAAAATCATTTAAAAGTCTTCCTCTACATTTAGGAGCAGATTTTATACGCATATAGTAAGTAGTTGCTTACATTCCAAACCCTGAAAATATCTGCCTGACTCTGCTCTTTACAGAGTTTTCCAATAATAAATTTGACCAAGTCACAAAACAGAGCTGTTCAAATCCAAATGAAATTTGATAAAGGTGTTTCCATGTGAACCAGTAGCTTAACTGTTATTAACACTCACTAAACTTAGCATTAAGTTTAGTTCTTTACGATACTTTCATAGTTAAGATGTAATCTCAGTCCCCACAGGGGAAAAGGCAGGCAAAGTCACTATCTCTGGAAAACAAGAAGGCCAGACACAGAGATAACCCACTCACCACACTAGCAGGAGAATCAAGACTAGAGGGCATAAAAAAGTCAGGCTCTCTTCGCTGGACCACTAGGAATTCAAAATGTATTCTGTACATAACTGCACAACCCAGAAGCTCCATCAGCTGCATGCATGGGGTCCTGGATGCCCCACAAACTTCTCAGCTCACAGCTACACCCTTCCAGAGTGTGTGTATTTTCACATAAATTCTCTCAGACCTCAAAGGAGCATTATCATTCTAGCTAAGCAAACAAAAAACCAAACAAGGCGAGTCCAGGGAATTGCTGACCTTCCCAACACCACACAGCTAGTTCTGATGGAGAACTTGAAACCAGAATGGAAGATTCCACCCATGTTCAAGCACCCTCACACACGCACACCTAATTTCTAGAGTTCTTTTATTGATTTCCATTTCGTTCAAATTCATTCTAATTTACTCAATATTAAAGCAACTTCCTCTAAAAGATTATTTATAGACTTAACAGTTTAAAACAAATCAGAAGTGAGTTTTCTTGCATGGCCATACAATTGCTTAACACACTCCTCTTCAGCTCCCGACAACCTCTCTGCTAAGAAGCATAGAGGACCAGCTTTTAAGCACGTCAGGCATGTTTTTGGTGACATTCTATTCACTATCAAGTTTTGTTGCTGTTTTTGTTAAAGTGTCCAGTTTTCTCTTAAGATCATCACCGTCAATGAATCAGTCTTACAGTGGATCTGTGGGACTCATTTTTACGGTAGAGCTCTTCTGGGGCCAGGTTCCTCTCCAAGTACGCTGGGGGTCTGTGTTCAGGTATGTCAGAGAAGTCACCCGATCCAAATTCTAAAGATAAATATCAAAACACACATTTTATAAAGGTTGCACATATTTCACCAACGGGAGTTCAGTTGCAGGGTAGGCTTCCTAAACAAGCACTGGCAATTTTGAGAAAGCCTAGTTTTCATCTTACCGTAATTGTTTCAAGACCTAAGGGTAAGTCACATCCTCGAATGAGGCCCTAACTGCACAATTATGACTACTTCTCTCCTGCCTTCCTCATGAGATTGGTGGGTAGTAAATCCCTGGACAGAGAGGATCAGACGTAATTCTTTCCGTGCGTACATTTAAGCTACACTACCTAGGGTTTTGGAGAAGAGGCCACCACATACACTCAACATTAACAGGGCATTAATGGGGTAGCCCACATTTAAAGCCAGAATAAATAACCAAGCACGTGGTCTGCGTGGAACGACTCTCAGAACCAAGGTGACAGAGTGGTGACGGCGAAGGCGGCGCTGCCACCGCGGACAACCCTCCACCCGAGGCACTCCGGGTCGGAACGCAGAGCCCGCACCCCTCCCGGTCCACCCGGCCCACCCGGCCCTTCTTCCTCAACGGGCCCAGGCGCTAGGGGCTTCCGCCGTGACCCCCCAAGCCAAAAAAGTGAGGCCTAGGTTACCCCAACCTGGACTCCTCAGAGCCCACCGGCGAGACCACAGATCACCTCCAGCTCGGGGGGGGGACACAGAGCGGGAGTGCCCAGAACAAGAACACCGCGAACAGAATCCTGAATTAGGCGCGGGACAGCCGCTGTCGTACTTCTCGCGAGATTCACTGGTGACGCCGGCGTCACGTGTCCTCCTTGCTCTCTCATTGACTAAAGAATGGCTCCGCCCCTACACGGAGCCAATCATCGTCAGCGGAGGGGCGAACCCGGAAGCGATGCTCTCGGCGAGGTTCTCGGTGGAAGGTGAGCGTCCGGAGCGGCGGGGCGGGCGACCGTGGGTGGCGGGTCACGTCGTTGGTAACGCCGAGGCAGCCTCTCCGGTGTGGGCATCGGAAGCCCTCCCGCTAGACCGGAGAGAGGCCTTTCTTCCCCTGACGATCGCCCCAGGATCCCCGGTCACCACTTGTGCCTTACTTTGTGTGCTGAGAGAACCGTGAAGAGAGTGGAGTAAAAATAATGTGGAGCGTTGAACTAAATCAGACCCCAGAAGGTCCTGATGCTGATGCAGGGCAACTTGTCTTAAACTGTCAGAGTCTCAGCGCAGTCCTCTGAAATGGGACGTGGAGCTCCATCTCACTGAGATGAGAATTGGAACAGTTCGTATCTCTCTAAAATGGAGTGTTGCCTTTAAGTTAGGGAACGCCCTATTCCTCCATAATGGTGTGCATAAAGTTTTATGCCTTAAATCAGGAGATACATCTGGGTTTTATTTTTAAATATACCAAGACAGTTATATGTAGCTTACATCTGGAACGGTAAAGTCAGAGTTAATATGAGTTTTCATAACGAAAGGTGTGGGAAGGGGGCTGAGATCTGTGCTGTGTTTTGGTATTGACATGTTAAGCGTTTAATGAATTGACGTGACATAGTAATTTTAGAAAATAGTTGTAAGATGAAAGGAAACCTTGAAAACTGCAAGAAAATAGTTCTGATCGCTCTCTTAAAAAATGACAGACCGATCAGACCTTAGAAACGTCAGTGGAATTTTTATATTTTACAATACAGCTATAGGCCCTAGGACGTTGCTGGTCATGATTTTGTTGCTCTTGTCACTAGTAATGAAATTTACTAAGGCAACAGAATGGTGAACACATGAAATTAAGTAGAAAAACACCATGAGGAGTATGTTTAACTGATAAGTTCTTAGAGGCCATTCAAAGCAAAGTTAAATGATAAGTCTTAAATTTAATGATACAAATAGTTCTTAATACAGGTTACATACAAACGGCACAAAAATCTGAGCCGAAGATGGCCTATTCTTCAAAGGTTGATGACAGAACAATGTAAGACATAGCACCAAAAAGAATAGACAGAGAAATATAATCGGCTCAACAGAGAATGAAAGTTGTAACATTTGAAAATAGCAATGAAAAATGGCAAAATTCAAAAAATATTGTTAAGAAACTGATAAATGGTTTTCAACGTAACTTCTCGTTTTCTTAATTGAGTCTTACATTCTGGTTAACTCTTCAAGCTGATGTCAGTTTATAAAGTAATATGGCAGGCTACCGGAGTAAACATCTCTGCTCACAGAAAAACTTTAATCTTTTAGTACTGGGTGAATCACAACCCTTCTGTGTACGGAATGTACCTATACTCCCATCTGTCTTAACATACCTAAATTAATAGATTAAAATTAAGATAGTTATTACCATTTACATAGTAAAAGAAAACATTTTTTATAAAAGATAAAAACTATAAATGATCATAGAGAACAGAAACCTCTGAAGTCCAGTAGTTAATAAATCTAATGGGTTTTAGGAAAGAACACCAAAGACAGTATGGCAATTTATTTGTCTTGTTTGCAAAGTTGGTATCCTGTTGATGATGCCTAGTTACCAATGTCTGACATTGTTGTGTTTGTATTTTCAGATTGGAACGACCAAACAATGCAGATGTAATCTGTCTCTAGAAAGACTGTCCCCTAGTGCTTGAAATGCTTTTTTAGAATAGTAGCAAAAATGGAAAAAGAAAAAGTAAGGGATGATGAAACACCAGACCCAGAAAACTCTTTGGACTTTTCTGAACAGTTTAATCAGCTCGAATTGTTGGAAACCCATGGACACCTGATTCCCACTGGTACTCAGAGTCTCTGGATAGGCGATTCTGATGAAGAGGAGGAGCAAGAAGAAAAACACGAAGAATGGTATCAATTGCAAGAGAAAAAAATGGAAAAAGATCCAAGCAAATTGCTTCTTTGGGCTGCTGAAAAAAATCGGGTAAAAAAAAGAAACCATTATATAGTTGGAAAAGCATTTGGTTTGGAGCCCAGATACCTGGTCCTGACCTCTGTATCTCTGGGCATATTCCATCATTTCTGGTCCTTTTAATTTCTTGTCTTTAAAAATGGGAGCTTAATACTTGTCTCATTTATGTAGGATTGTCAAAATAGTATATATGAAAATGTACGCCACATTATAAACCGACTAGATGTCGGGAGGTTTGGGGGTAATTATAAGCAACCCTCTAATTAAATCATTAGGATCACTCCACAGGTGTGGTAAGATGGAAATTAACTTAGATGACCGGTCCATCAAGTGTCTAACTGCTCTATTTACTCCTCACAAAGTCCTACGAGGAAAGCCAGGCAGATTTGTCATCCAAGCATAGTACCCAAAAATCAATTCTTCCCGCTTGATCCATTTGTGCTTAGTTTACTAAGTCCTCCCATGTGTGTCAGTAAACTGAAAACTGAAAGGGTTTTACACTTTATGATTCTTTTCAATCCCAAAGCACAATGTATTCTGTCAGAGGTCCTTGATGCCTAGCAACATGACATGTCTCTGAGCTTGTCTGGAGGAATTGAGCTCTTTAGTCTCTAGGTTGCTTTAGCATCACTTTATTCTACTGTTAAAAGGGGTTTTTGTTTGTTTTTTGGTTCCTATGCCATGTAGATTGATACAGGTGAAATAGAAAATACAGTTAAACCCTTTGTTCATCTAGGGTCAAAGCACTGGACAATAAGCATTTATTAGAATGGGTTAAATGTGTGGTGTGATATTCAGAGAATCAGATTCTTGAGATGCACCAGAGTGTGATGGGCTGTAACTTGTTCAACGTTAATCAGTTACTGTCTCCTCCTTTAGGGAGAATCTTGAAGTCTAAAGCCACTGGATGATGTAATTGCCTTTGTCGATTGTTTTGCTTTGAGTTGGACTTTTTTAAAGTTCTCTTCCTTTTTTCCTTAGCTTGCTACGGTGCAGAGGCTACTTTCTGAGAAGGCCACTGAAGTGAACACTAGGGACGAAGATGAGTACACCCCTCTTCACCGAGCAGCCTACAGTGGACACTTAGATATTGTTCGTGAGCTGGTGGCTCAGGGGGCAGATGTTCATGCAGTGACTGTGGATGGCTGGACACCACTACACAGTGCTTGTAAGTGGAATAACACCAGGGTGGCCTCCTTCTTACTTCAGCACGATGCAGACATCAATGCCCAAACAAAAGGCCTCTTGACCCCTTTACACCTTGCTGCTGGGAATAGAGACAGCAGGGACACCCTGGAACTCCTCCTGATGAATCGCTACATCAAACCAGGGTTGAAAAACAACTCACAAGAAACCGCTTCCGACATTGCCAGGAGGACAAGCGTCTATCACTACCTCTTTAAAATCGTGGAAGACTGTACCAACTCTTCACCTCCGTCTTAATGGCTCTAGTCATTTTCTTAAGCTTCAAAGTACCAGTGCCTCCTATGTATGAGATGTAAAATATCCCCATATACAGAGAGCAGATGTCTCACTACAGAAATTTTGTTGGATGAATCACAGTTTTCTTTCAAGTGACCTGCCTGACCTTGGTGTCAAAGTGTATTTGAGAGGTGTTTGGATGCAGCTGTGGTGAATGCCACAGACATTGTGATTTTTATCAGAGGTAATTTTAACTGGACATGGGTAATAGAGAAGCTAAGGATATTTTTTGGTGCTGATCCAAGAGAAAAGTATTTTTAAATATCCCATACCCTGGGTCTTTGTTCAGTGTTCAGCATATTGACTTGTATTTTTATAAGCTAAGATAACTCAAAATTTTCATCTTCAACATACTGGTGCAGTTCCGCTGTCTTCTCTGCATCTCCAGTTGCTTTCATTCTTAACAAGAAACACTAACAAATTCGTGACTTACATCTTTGTAAGTTCAAAAAATAGTGAAACATTTAGGTGTATTGTAAGATGTAGCCATTCTGAGGAAAGCAGTTAGGGAGATGTTTAATCCTTGAATGTTTTACACTGCCTCCCCCACCACATTCCTCATAATCCTGTGGACAGTCCTACCTCACCCTGGTCAACCCATGTGACCCTTATTGTTATGGCCAGTCAGTGTCACTTTGACATGCACAAAACTGTACCTTGGTCCAAGAGATTAAAACTGCCCTCCAAAGGGTTCACCCGCCTCTCTCTCCCTGCTGGTTTGGGCACTACTTACCTGGACTCAGTGAGTTCCAGGAAATGTCCACCACTACCCCTCAGCCCTCATTTTCTACAAGCCATGACAAAGGCAAAGGCACACAGAATCCTAACAGTGAGGAGTGATTATCATATGGGACCAGAACAACAAGTGGCTCAGGCTTTCTTACAGAAACCAAACAATAAGAGACAAAATATGGGTAGTGACACAGCATAACTAGAAACAGAGCAGAAACTGACAGTGCAGAAGGTGGGAATTCTTTAACTGGCACAGAACTTCACTGGATCTGTGGCACCTTTGTTCAAGTTCAAGCTGCATTAACTTTTCTCTTCCTGGTGCCTGCAACAGTTTGTGATGGACTCCCTAGCCCCTCTGTATTCCCAAAGGGTCTTCTCACCACGAGAACTCGAGTCCAAGGGAAAGGCCACGAGGGGCTCATTGTCAGTGTCAGCTTAGGCTCACCCAGGAGTTGGCCTCTAGCGTGTCTGGAAGGGAATTAATAGAAAGGTTTAGCTGAAGAGAGACTGTGTGTCCAGATGTGTGTGGCACCGTCGCATGGGCTCAAGTCCCAGATTAAATAAAAAGGAGAAAGCAAGCTAAGAACCAGTGTTTGTGTCTGCTTTCTCACTGGGTACAGTGACAGCTACTTCACACACACTGCCTTGCCTTCCCTACCACAGT